AGTGGGAACTCATCAGTTCGGTTTGGAGGTGCAGAGTTTGCCTCCTAGGGTCCCTCTCTAAGCGCCCGCCTGAGCCAGGGGGGTGCAGGGGCCACTCCAGGCTCGACTCTGCTGTATTGGACAGGTTGGGGCATAAATTCATTGCTCTGGCCTGCTCCGATAATTCATTTTTGTTCACTTGCCTGCGCTGCAGGAGTTACAGTTCTGGGGCCCAGGTCAAGAAGCTGGGCCAGGTGTGTCAGCCGCCGACGGTCACAGGTCACAAGAACTGGAGAAAGATCCAGAAGGGCAGCCATCCAGATAAACCACACGTGGTGGTAGAGACTGGCTGCTCGTTACCTGTCTCGGCGTCGCTCGGTCGTCTCACCTCATCCCCGCTCCCTCGTGAGCCTCCCCTCCCTCCCCCTCCCGCCCTCGCCCCTCCCTCAGGGGCGAGGTCGGGTCAGGCCCCTGCCGCTGGAGGCCGGCCTGTGCAGCGCGCCCCGCCAGGCGGGGCCCTCGCTGCTTCGGAGGGGTGGGGGGAGGAGGACGAGGCTGCGCGCGTTCTTTTCTCGGGGCCCTCCAGGACTCGGTTTTCGAGCGATTCGGACTGAGCCCTGTTTAATCCTGCCAGGGGTGTCTCGCTCTGCCAGGTTCAGATCATTCCTGAGACATTGCCGTGGGCGGCAAAAAAGAGGAGGAGCGAGGGGGGGGACAAGCTAGGTGCGTTCGCGCCACATCTGAGATCCTATCGCTCCCTACCACCCCTTCCCATTGCGCTGTTTTTTCTCTCTACCGCGGACGCGTGTCAAAGCCGACCTGGAACTCCAACAGAAAGACTCCATCGTGTTATGCGCAATCGGAGGCGAGGAGCTGCGCGCATAGGAGGAGGGGGAGGAGGACGAGGAGGAGGAGGAGGAGGAGGACGCGGGTGGGCAGAAGGATGGATTGAGGAAGAAGGAGGAGGATGTGCAAGGAGGACGAGGACCAGCAGCAGCAGCAGAAATTCGAGTGGAAGAAGCGGGAGAAGCAGGAGGGCCAGGGGAAACCGGCGGAGGGGAAGTGAGGAGGGCGGCAACGATGGAACGGACTCGGATTCAGAAACATGGCCCAGGCTGGGGCGAGAGCGCCATTCTGAACGACGGCAACAAAGCGCCGATCCGAGAATGAGGCCCACGCTGCATCGGGAGTTTCGTTTCGAAGACAATCGGATCGCAAAAAGAAAGGTGGAACGACAACCTGTGTCCGAATCTGCGTGGGAAAACACTACGCGCAAAGAAACGGCCATCTTCCAGACGGGGCCCGGGGAGACAGGAGAGTGGTTATGAAGAGGCGGGGATTTGTTGGGGGAACGAGGGGGAGCAACAATAGGGGATCGGAGCGGAGCTATTGCATCGCTGCGCTCCGAGCCCTGCCCCCCAGTAAGGAGTATAGCTTGCATATGGCTGTTCGGGGATTCATGTGAGCGGGAAAACTGGCCTGGCAGGCCCGGGGGGAGGGGTGGCAGACAAACAGCACAGGCAGCAATGGGAGCACCAGCGGCAGGAGCCGCAGCTCTTTACCCGCGGACCCGAAGCCTTGAAAAAAACAATACTGAGCAGCACGCGCTCGCCGTCGACAGAGAACAATGATTTCGCCGCTTGTTTTGACTGCCGTCTACATTCGAACGTCGAAGCACTTGCCCGTGCAAGTGGCTTGCCGCGTCTGCTCGCGAGCCGCGGGCACTGGGCCTTGATTTGTGAACATCGGCCTCCAAGAGTGCCGAGGCCTCGCTTACTGCCATCGACGCCATATCGAGACACTGGCGTTGCGTGCAGCGTTGACTGTCCTTTCGCCCGTTTATGCGAAGGTCCGTTGTGACTTCTTTGGCCTGACTGCGGGCTTATCACTGCTGCAGCAAGGGCAACGGCTTCCCACCGCAATTGTATCATGCCACATGCCAATCCGTCTCAATGATTGGGGCGGTTCTCAGTTTGTACGGCTGATCTGAATGAAGGCTAGAATTACAGAGGTATGTAGTCAATGCGTTTATGCATCACGTGTTCTTCGTGTCATCACAGTTGCACAGCATGCAGCGGCACCACTACCACAACACCAATGATGAGAATGATGGTGGGAGGACGGAGGGGAATACGGGGAACATGCGGAAGGAGCGGATACAGGAACAGAGACGACAAGTATGGCAGGCCCACCCATACAGGAGGGAAGAGAGGAAGCGGAGATGTCGTGGCGGCGAGTAGCCCATGTCAGGGTGGGCGGCGGAATGAGGAGGCAGACGGCTCTTACTCGACATGGGGGGGTGGGGGCATTAACGTGTTCACGAATTCAAGGGGGCTTCGAGGGAGCACATTACGCGAGCGTTCGCACCGTGAGGCTGGCATCACGGATTGGAGAGCAGATTCACGTTCGTGGTTGGGCGCGTTCGTCATGTTTGGAAGTTTGGTCAATCGTGTCTACATCATAGTAATAGCGTGATCTTAGCACATTGCAAGGAAATGTGACGGGCGCGAAGCGCATGTCGAGCTCGACTGAAGCGGGATCTGGTCGAACAATTTAGTGGGTTTGTTTTTTTGCCCAGTGAGCGGAAGTGTCGGCGTGTAGCTATCCAGCTGCTTGCGGCAAACCCCGCCACCGTGCTTGTGCAACATCGCAGCAGGAAGGAGGCTGAGTGTAGGAACCGCTCAATTTCGACGAGTATTCAGTACTCGTCGGAATTGAGCTGTTCCTACACTACGGAGTACTGAGTACTCGTCGGAGTTCCGACGAGTACTGAGTACTCAGAGTACTACTCTGCATTGGGGCGGGTCGTGATCCACACCTCGTCCTCGTCCGCTCGGTAGGGAGGAGGAGGAGGAGGAGGAGGAGGAGGAGGAGGAGGAGCAGGAGCAGGAGGAGGAGCAGGAGCAGGAGCAGGAGGAGGAGCAGGAGGTGGTGGTGGTGGTGGTGGTGGAGGAGGAGGAGGAGATGGAGAACATGAGGATGAGGTGGAGAAGGCTTCTTGGGGCTTTCCTGGGGCTCCCCGGGAGCCTCCTGGGAGCTGCCTGGGAGCCTCCTGGGAGCTGCCTGAGAGCTTATTGGGGGCCTCTTGAGGGCCTATTGGGGCATCTTGGGCCGTCTTAGGGGACTCTTGGCCCGCCTGACGCCTATGGATGCCGCCTTGGGGGCCTCTCTAGGACGCGCTGGTGCCCTCTTGGAGCGGTTCACGTCCGTCTTGGGCTCCTCTGGGAGCCCTCTGGGCGATCTTTGGGTCCTCTTGACCCGACTTCGGGCCTTCGTGGGGGCTTCTCGGGCTGTCTTGGAGCCGCATTTGAGGCTTCGTGGGCCGTCTTGGGCTGTCGGAATCCAGAACAGGTGAGACTTTCAACATCTTTCAAACACCTAGGGCAATTCAATGGTTTTGGCCTGCCCGGGCTCTCCCGGAGGGCCTCTCGGAGACCTCTTGGGCCGTCTCGGGGCCTTCTTCATATGTCTTGAGGCTGTCGTGGAAGCCTCTTGTGCTGTCTTGGGTCATCTTTGGCCATCTGGGCGCCATCTTGGCTGCCTTGAACGCCGCCCTGGAGGCCATGCGGCTCCCACGAAGGCCTCCAGGAGGTCTAAACGCCCTCCAGGAGAGCCCGAGGCCTACGCCATTGATTCCTTTGGGTGTTTGAAGGATGTTCAGGTTCTGGCATGTTTGGGTTTCCGACCGTCCAAGGCAGCACAACAGACTTCTCTGGACCGTCCTGTTGCTTTCTTGGGACGCTTGAAAGCCGTCTTGGGGCCCTCTTGGGGGCCTCTTGGACCGCCTTGGAACTATCTTGGAGTCATCTTGGAAGCCTCTTGGGCCGCCTTGGGTGGTCGGAAACCCGAACAGGCGAGAATTTCACAATTCTCCAAACACTTGAGGACCATCAATGGCTTAGGCCCCCTTGGGCTCTCCAGGAAGGCCTCTTGCAGTTCTCTCGGGTCGTCTTGGGGCCCTCTTGGGCCGTCTTGGGGCCCTCTTGGGCTATCTTGAGCCGTCTTGAGGCTCTCTTGAGCGGCTCTTGAGCTGTGCTGGGCCATCTTGAGCAGGTTCGTTGTCGTCTTGGCTGTTTTGGAAGCCGTCCTGGGAGGCCATGTTGGCCGTCTGGAGGCCGAACAGACCGCGCGAAAGCAATTCCAGGGGGGGCGGTGTTCAAACCACGTGTGTTGACAGGGGGGGCAGGGTCGGCCCTAGAAAACTCGAAAAACCTTTCCAGGCAATAGACGAGCACTCTAATACGCCCACTCCGTGCAGGCTTGGTGGCGGATATGGCACAGCGGCGAGGCTCGCATAATCCGTCTCTTCTGGTGCTGGAGGACGCGCTGTCATGGCTTCAACTCACGCGAGTACGCATGCGAGCCTTCGAAACTGCATGGGTCTCGTTTGCAGCGCAGCCCATAGAGCGTGACACTGCAGTGTTTCAAAGTTGTGTCATGGAAAGAGCAGCTCGCTTGACACGAGGGGAAGATGCGCGTAGAGAAGGAGGGCGAGCATGTGGCAACATTGAGGCGGTTGCAAACATCCAGGTTGTAGTTTCACCAGCGTAACAGAAAGCTATATGAACATGAGTAGTTCGTCCGCGTGCACTATACAGATCGTGAGAGATTTGCTCATGGCATGAATCTGGAATCTTCGTGTCAGGATAGTTTTGTATGGTTCGATTGTGCCCCGATCGGTGCCAGGGCATTGTTAAGTGAGAGGCGCGCCTAGAAACAAGTCAAAGGAAGGGTGATTGGCCAGAAACTTTCCAGGACCCGTCTCTTGTGTTAGCCGTCCTGAGGCAGCTTGGTCTATCAAGAGTGGTCGCACGTTGCATGTTTAGTCTCACATGGCTGACTGTGCAAAGAAAAGCCGACGGTCGGTACGTGCTTGCATGTTGGGCTGAAGCCTAGGGATGACATAGGACCCGTCTTATTTTTCGGTGGGTGAGGAGGGAGGGGGGGGTGATGGGAGTTGCGAGGTGACAGGGAGGGCGGGAGGAAGAAAGCAGGGAGGAGTGATGGATGGGCGCTGGAAGGAATTGCACATCTCGCTCGACAACGTCGTCACCTGTGGCGTCCTAGGGGAAGGCTCCCCGGGCGGAACCCGACATCCTGGCCCCCGACCGCCGCCCGATGACGCGAGTGTGCCGCCCCTGGATCGGGTCCTGCTCGTCCCTCCTTCTTGCTCCTCCCCACTGCTCCGCTTTCTCAGATGGTCCTCCTGGCCCACATGACAAAACACAGACCAACGGGACTAGCATCTGGTGGTAGACATTTTGTTTGCCCCCTTTTGGTCCTCCCCCGCTTCTCCCTTGGCCCACCTGCAAACACAGACGAACGGGACGCACAGTTGGGCGGCGGACTTTCTGTCTGCCCCCTCCCCCACCCAGATCGCTGCAGAACAAAACCCAGGGCCCCACAACGCCGAGGAGAGCATGCAAATCAGCAGCGCGTGAACCTCCCAGAGCGCCGCGGCGATTCGGAGTGCTGTCAGCTCCGCGGGCGCCAGGACGCCGCAAACCTTGGCTTATCCCAGATCCACGATGACAAAGCGAATATCCCAAATCTCCGACGTTATTTGTGTTCCGATCCGGGCGCGTTTCCCTAATTTCGGCCCGTTATCGGGCCCCTATGGCCATCGGGCCATCAAACATGGATCCGTGACGACAACCTACCCCCGGGGGAAGGGGATGGACCTCGGGGGCCGCGCATCGAGAAAACACATCGTCGGACGTGTGAGCGTGGAGATTCCGTTGCACCTTGGCCGGCCATTTGCCGGGTACCTCTCCTTGCGGTTGCCGCTTGCCTTTGCACTGGCCAGGGTGGAGCTAGTCAGATTCCGTCTCCAGAGTGCATTTGGTTCCACCCCCGATGGGAGAGCGATTGGGAGTTCGTTCCGATCGAGCGTCACGACAGCTTTGGTAGTGGTCGTGTAAAGTTTGGTCGCCATCGCCTGCCTGCCAAAGAGCAGGGCGACGGGTGGAACTTACTTCGATCCTCCGACTTTGTCTTCTCTGCGGGGACGGTACAATTGGCGGAATGCACGTTTACAGTGAAGCGGTTGGTGCCGTCACGTTCCGGCGCCAAACGGCGCAGCGCGTCGTGAGGGCTGAATCATCGATCACATATGGGTTCGTTGAGTTTTGTTTTGCCCTTCAAGAAGAGAAACACACAACATGTACCTCGCCACAGTCGTTGACGGTTGCGTGTGCTCGGCATTATTCGGAAGCGACAACGCCGAATTGAGAACCAACAAAGACTTCCGGACACCTGGAACCTCAAACCTCTTTGCTCCCCGCTACGCGGCGGTGGCCCTCAGTCACCAGGAAAATGTGCCTCTCGTGACAGTGGTTAACTGTTGCGTATAATCGGCCCTTCCCCGTCCCGATCGTCGGGGGCCCGCCTTGGCGTTCGAGAATTTCGCCTCGGAAGCGCGGGGCGGTCGGCCAGGAGGGCAACGGGGAGTTCGGGGGGCTCTGAGAAGCGGCAGGATGAGGTCGCGGTGACACGAAGGAGCTTTCAAATCTGATTGCGCAGCCTTGTGCTCTGCCTGGCCCCAGAACATGCCGACAGGCTTCGAGACTATCGAGCTTCGGCGGCTGCGGAACGCGCAGGCCCAGGGCGCAGCAATAATCAGTCGCGAAGCAGGCTTCCATCGACTACACGCTGAGAGTGACGTTTCGCTGGAATGACCTTCGGTGCGGGCCCACGGATCCCCCGATCGCGGAATGGGATGCGACAGTTGGACAGCATTGGTTTGCACGCTTGGGTTTTGCACCCCCACCACCCCCACCCCTCCCCCCCAGGCGTCCCCGAAAGCCAGACACAGAAGGTCCCTCTTGGTTAGGATCACATCTAGGATCACATCTGGCGTGCAGCCGATTCTAGAATTAACCACGCCAAGATCACGTCCAAGTTCGCAGTGCTTTCCGCTGTCGTCCCTCGCACTGCGATTGACGTGTCGTTTGTCTGCACACTCGGATACTAGCTCCGTCTGTCGGCCACAGTGTTTGCGCGGATCGTGCGGCGAAACTCCCGCCACGGTTGTAGCACATGGGGTTCGCCAGGCCTCCGAAGCAGCGGCTCGTGGGGGGGGCGTTGGGCCACTAGCAGGGGCGTTGGGCCACCAGCAGGGGAGCGCGTCTCGCGCGGCCGTGCCCCTGCCCAGGCAGCTGCAGCGCGAGAGCGCGAGGGCAATGACGCAGGATGTAGGGCGACGAGATCTATACACATCTCCTGCCCCTCGCCCCAGGGGCAGTGGGTATGCATAGATCTCGTCGCCCTAGGACGGCGATTGAGGAATGCCTTGGGGGGGGGGGCGTCACGCATCAGCGCCCTGGCGATATTGAGCACATCGAGTTCTGGGCGTGCTCGTGGGCGTCATCGTCGATAGTGGAGCTCCTTAATCGCGCTCTCCCAAAGTATTTGGCGGCGCAGAGAACTGTTTGCTAGACTCCCTTTCCTTTTTTTTTTTTTTTTCTCTTGGTGATCATCTCCTGCACGCAGCAGCGGGAGCCAATAGGAGGAGGAGGAGGAGGAGGAGGAGGAGAAGGAAGAAAGGGGGGGATGTATTGGAGCTCTTCGAGAGCTCAATTTCACTCTCCTCTAGCGCGCACTGCTGCCGACCGCGCCGAAAATGTCCGGCGCGGTCAGCGTTTCGTCAAGAACAGCATCAACAGACAGCATCCACAAATTCGTTCCAGGGGCTCCGCACCCAGCCCACCGCAGGGCAGTTCGGCCTGGTGACCCGCGTGCTGGTACGCGGGGTCTTCGGCGTGGAGTTCGCCCTCAAGCGGGTGTCCAAGCGCAGTGTTCTGGAGCTGGAAATGCAGGAGATCCGCGTCTCTTTTCTGTCCAGCCGCCATACAAAGGAAACATTGTATTTTGAACAAATCTGGTCCTGGAGGTTTGGGGTAGTTTCCTGGCTCCCAGGACCCTCCACGGGCCTCGGGACCGTCAACCGATTATTCAGGGACGAACATCTCGTCCCAGGAGGGACAGCCCTGGGGTTCAGGACATGTTGTATGTCATGCAGTTCTCCCCAACCATCCTAAGGTGTTGGGTTCTCGCTTTGAAGAGACGATCCCCGCGGTCCCTCTTTCCCGCCCTCCTGTGCCACCGCCCGCATGCGTCACGCACACCCATTTCGGCATACCCCTCACACGTTTCGTGGCCCCACAGGGAGCTCCACCGAAGGCCTCAGTGCCACCGCCCGCATGCGTCACGCACACCCATTTCGGCATACCCCTCACACGTTTCGTGGCCCCACAGGGAGCTCCACCGAAGACTCCAGTGCCACCACCCGCATGCGTCACGCACACCCATGTCGGTACAACCCTCTCACGTTTCGTGGCCTCACAGGGAGCTCCACCAAAGGCCCCAGTGCCACCGCCCGCATGCGTCACGCACACCCCTGTCGGCACACCCTCACACGTTTCGTGGCCCCACAGGGCACCGAAGGCCCCAGTGCCACCGCCCGCATGCGCCACGCACACCCAATTCGGCACACTCCTCACACGTTTCGTGGCTCCACAGGGAGCTCCACCGAAGGCCACAGTGCCACCGCCCGCATGCGTCACGCACGCCCAAATCGGCACACCCCGCACACGTCCCGTGGGCCCATAGGGAGCTCCACCGAAGGCCCCAGTGCCACCACCCGCATGCGTCACGCACGCCCATTCTGGCACACCACTCACACGCTTCGTGTCCTCACAGGGAGCTCCACCGAAGGCGCTAGTGGTTGCGTTTGCATGCGCCCACCGCACCCATTTCGGCACACCCATCACACGTGTTGCGGCACCATAGCGGGCTCCACCGACGGCCCCAATAGTTGCGTTTGCAGGCGCCCACCGCACCCACTCTGGCACACCTCTCACACGTTTCGTTGCCCCGCAGGGAATTCCACCGACAGCCACATGCGCTCACCAGACAAATTGTGGCACATCCCTCACACATTCCGAGGCCCTACAGGGAGCTCCTCTGACTGAATGCGGTGCATACAACGACGGTGCTCATAACTGCAAATGGTCGGGTCGTTCGCCAGGCTAGGCTTCTTACGACCGACCGAGCACCCTCCATGTTCGGCGTGCGTCGTTGTCGTTTCCCGTGGCAGCCGAGCCCGCGTGGGGCTCCATCTGCGTTTGCTGCGCACCATGTGTCTGGACTGTGCCAGATGGGCAAGGGTCTGGCATCTGATGCCAAGAGGTCTAGGCCAAGGACGATTCGTCTGAGACTCCAAGTGCGGTTGATTTTCCCAATTGGTGGACCGCACCAGGAGCACGCATTTTCGAGGCCTGCGTTCTAGGTCAGCCACCGAAGGTTTGGTAGACAGTCCGTCGGTGCCTCTTCGCGTAAACTCGTGGGTGAGGAGAACAAGGAAGAAGATGTTGGCAGGGAGGGAGGATGAATAACACGAGGGGCGGAAAGAGGAGGACGAGGAGGATGAGGGAGGACGATGAGGATTAGGAATAAGGTAGACGAAGAGGCGGAGGAGGATCAGGGGAAGGAATGATGGGGTGATACGAGGTTGAGGAGAGAGAGGCGGAAGAGGATGAGGACAAGAACACATGTGAGAGCGGAAGTGTACACAAAATGCGCGGTAGTGTTTGCAACGGTTTCGTCCGTCCTGAAATCTTAGCTCGTCGAGTCTCCACACCAGCTCATCCAGGAACGATGCCTAGGGGAGCTGCCCTTATCGAAAGAGCGTGGCATCGTTTGGCTGGCTCGAGGAGCGTCCGTGGGCCAGAGGCTTCTTGGGTGCCTCTCGGAATCTCTTGAGATATATGTCGGGATCTCCTGCGGGCCTCTTGGGACGCTGTGGCGGCCAGTTGGAGGCCTCTCGGCACGTCTTTGGGGCCTTCTGGCGTGCTTCAGAGCCTCTTTGCGCTTTTGGGGAGCCTGTTGTGGGCCTCGTGGGTGCTTCTTCGGGGCCTTCTGGGGCCCTCCCGGGGCTCTCTAGGGAGCCTCCTGGGGCCACCTTGGAAGCTATCGGTCAAAGGAGAGGCGGTTCGTAATTAGCATTGCTCCCCCCCAGGAGGCCATCATGGGCCTCAACCGTTGAACCGTTGCAAAAAGCAATGCTTAGCGCCTTGCCGCTAAAGCCATCTTGGAAGCTCTAACACCTCGCGAACCACCACCTCGTCCAGACCCACGAGGATGGGCGAAGCGGGAGGGGCAAAGCTACCCTCAGCCGCAAGCCGCAAGCCGTGTCGCTCACTCCCATCCTCCCTTCCAACACACATGCAGCATCCGAGTCTGATGCCCAGATCCCACTGGGTTCATGAGCATACAATATTAGGTTACCGCCGCCGTCCCTGTCAAAACCAATGCAAAGTGGTCGCGGGGCGCCCGCGCATCATTCAGATCTTATCGCAAAGTGCACTTTGCATCAATGAATTGAGAGTGATCATGGAGCGCCCGCTCACGGTCCAGATTTTGGTGCACAGTGTATTTTGCATTATGTTTTGACAGGGGCGGTCGGCCTCTACAAAGCGGACATTGTGAGGGCACCCCGGCCTTTTCAAAAGTTCATGCGAAGTGTTCACGGGGCGCCTGTGCACGGTCCAGGCTTTGCCGCATTGTGCACTTTGCATGTTGGTGGTTTGACCGGGGTGACGGAGAGGGGAGGCATCGTCCTGGGTTTGTCGCTCGTCGGGTGGGGGAGGGGGTGCATATCAAGAAGGAGCAGTGATACTGCTTCCTCGACGGGGGAGAAGGGGGAAGGTGGGAGATGAGGCTCCCTAAGCCACCTCAGGCCACATGGCTTGTGGGATTGCCTCCTCGAGTTTTGCTCCCGCCTCCGGCGGGACAAATAGATTCTTGCCAGCAGCCTATACAGCTGGAGCGCGAGATCTTGTCCGAGTGCTGCCACCCGCTGATTGTCCGCTTGATCACTACTTTCCAGGAGCCTGGATCTGGGTGACAGCAAAAGTGTGCGAAGGGATTGGTCAACCTGCTGTCCAGACCTCCTCCCACCAGCGGTGGCACTTCTTGTCAACATCATACAAGAAAACAGCCTCAATCAGTTTTTTGCTCATGAATTTATAGCGGTCACTCCAATCTTGCCATCTCTGTTTTCGCTATATCCTCCACTCTTTTCCTTTGTTTATTCAGCTTATTTTCTCTACCCTCTGATATCGCCGTGCACTCTCTTCCATACTCCAGGCCATATATCAAGTTTGTCGTTCTTTCGATATATATACCCCTTTCTCTACTCAACTCTGCCTCGTCTGCCATACCTTCTAAGTATTACATCTCTCCCTCTCTCTCTATACATTGACATGCATATGCGCGAATACACGTATATCCCCGTTTGTCTCTCAGTCCCAATGTATGTCTGACGTTGGCCGCACGTGCATATTTCAGTTTTGCTTGTTCTCTTTCTCGCTCTCTCTCTCTCTCTTTCTCAATGTGTTATTCCGTCTCCCTCTGTTTCTACCTCACTACGTCTCTCCTTTTTTCTGTTACTACTTATTGTGCTATACGTGTGCTCTCTCAAAACTCTCTGCTCTCTAATGTCTAGTCTGTCATCTCGGCTGACCTCTGCTCTCTACTTGCTAACCTGTTCTCTCTACGATCCACGATATTTTCTTATTCTCACCGAGGTGAAGCACTTTGGGGGAAATTTGGGAGGTTGCAATGGGAGAGGGATCGTAAAGTGTGGCCCTCGGTGTTAAGCCGACGCCAGCCGTGCTGAACATTGATGAAAGCTCATCGCCGCGGGAAGCGCCCTTTACAGTCACGCAACCCTTTCTCAAGGACTAAGTGGACGGGAGGTCAAATAATTCAGCAGACGTTGGGTTGACTAGAACTGCAGGGGAGAACTATAGGAAAAGCGTATATTGCATGGGGGACTGGGACATGGGAAGATACAGTTTTAGTGTACCTACAGCGCGGCAGGATCATAAGGGATCGCGGTAAGGGTACATGGACCTTTCGTTCCCAAGTTCAAGCTTGTTGATCGAAGATGGCCAGCGATAGGCCTAAGGATGAGCCGACGATGCAATAATAACATGTTATGTTTGGAAAGCTGCCCATCATGATTATGTAATATGTTTGTAGTGTGTGTGTGTGTTCATGTGCGCGTTTTTGTTCTGTCTGTCTGTCTGTCTGCCTGCCTGCCTGCCTGCCGGCCTGCCTGCCTGCCTGCATCTGTCTGTCTGCTGTCTGTCTGTCTGTGTGTCTGTGCTGTCTGTGTCTGTGTGCGCGTCTGTCGCCTTAGTAGCACACGCTGCGGTGCCGTCACCCGGCCGCTGGAGAACAGTTTGTGCCTGTGTGTGTGGGTGTCAGTGTGTGTGTGTGTGTTTGTTTGTCTGTCTGTCTGTTTGTCTGTTTGTTTGTGTGTGGATGTGTCCGTCGGTTTCTGTGTTTGTCCGTCTGTTTGCATGTGTTTGTGCGTCTCTGCGTATGTGTATGTTTGTGTGTGTCGTCGCCTCCGCTGACAGAGGGGGTGGGGCTCGGGCCGAACGAAAGGGGGGGATAGGGAAAGGGGTGGTTGCGAAAGCTGCTGCATGCAGCTGGTGTCGGCCCCGCCGCCGGGCCCATTCCTCGATACATAGGCGCCTCCGGGCGCCGGGAAGCGCTGGGGAAATCGGCTACGTGAGCTGATTCTCTACCCTACCCTTTGTTATCCTCCCCTTTCGTTCCCCCCAAAGGGCGGACGTGGAGGCGTGGGCGACCATTGGCTGGGAGGGGTTCGATGCTGCCCGCGTGAGTGGCTCGGTTCCTGCAACCGCGGGCCGCTGGCAAATTCGGAGTGGAAATCCAATATCGGCATTTGTTTTCGAGGGAATCGACACGCGATGGGGATTCGACATCGAGCATCGAACATCGAAATTTGCTGCCGGTTCGGAGCTTTTCCTTTTGGAATGGAAGGGGGCTGGGGGTGAGGAGAGGGGAATGTTGCAAGGCTCCAGCCCAGTCCAGGCATGTTAAATTATTGAATCGCTTCGCTCATTCCGCCAGCCCGTATTGTGCCATCGTTGGCGTTTAGTTGCGCGTTCATGGCTCAGGCGGTGCAGCGGGGCGGTGGTCGATTTCAGGAGACGGAGCGACAGCAGGCGTGGAGATGAAGCAGTTGCTCTGGAGCTTGTCGTGGGGGTTCAAGCCCTTGATGTCCACCGTCGTCGCCAGTGTTGTGTTGCCGTGAGACGGCTGTTTTCTTTGGAGGTGGTGCGTGTGCGTCGACGGGCGTTGCGCAGATTGTCGCCGGGCTTTTTTCGGAGCTTGTTTGGGGTCCTTGTTGGGGTCTCCTCGGATGCCGCTGGGGTTTCTGTTGGGGTGTCGCTGTGGTTGTTCTGGTCGGCTCGGCGCTTCGGGTGCTTCTGCGGGAGTTTTCTGGGAGACTTGTCCGTATCTGGTGCGCCAGGCCATAATGTGGCATTGATGCCGCGTGCTTGCGCGCTCGATGCCTTTGCGTAGCAGCATCGGTGATGCATCATGTGTTCCCTCTCCTCCTCCTCCTCCTTTTCCTTCTCCTCCTCCCTTTTCTCCTCCTCTTTTTCCTCTTCTCTCGACGCTGCGCCTCCTCTTTTTCCTCCTCCTCCTCTTCCTCTTTTTCCTCCTCCTCCTGCTCCTTGTTTCCGTCGACTGTTAATTGATTTTCGGTTTTCGGACGAAGGTAAGGAAGAGGAGGAGGAGACTGGGTGTGTTGCCTGGCTACCTGCAGCTTTGCGGAGGGCAGACGTTTCTTCGGAAGTTGCTCGACGTCTTTGGGGAAGTTGTTGCGTTGCCTCGACGCGTCACTGTGGAATCCTCCTGGAGCGGAGATCATTCGGCAAATGTCTCGACGTCTGGTCAAAGTCTCGTGGAGGCAGTTTGGAAGCCTTTTGATGCCTCTTGGGGGCCGTTTGTGTGTCCTGGGGCCTCTTTTTGACTCTCTCGCGGTCCTCGTGGGGCCGTGGGGGCTTCTTCGGGGCTTGCTGGCGGTCTCGGAGGTGGCCCTTGGGGCGGAAAGATTGAAGTGCCATTTCGAATTCTCCCTCTTGGGCCCCTTTTGGGGCTGTTTTGGGCCGTCTTGGGCGCCTCTTGGACCGTCTTGGTGCCCTCTTGGGCCGTCTTGGGGTCCTCTTGGGCTCTCTTGGGCCCATTTTGGGGGCGCGTTGGGCCGTCTGGGGACGTTGTTGGAGGCTTCTGGGGCAGTTCTGGACTCTGTGAACCCCCAAACGTCGCACATGCGAAACATATACGTCTTCCGAGGGGGATGGGACGATTTTTGCTTGTTGGGGCCCTCTTGGAGAGCCTCTTGAGGCTCTCTTGGGGCTTCTTCCGCGGCCTCTGGGGCCATCTGGAGACTATCTTGAGCGTCTTGGAACGATCTTACGGCGACTCGGGGCCTCTTAGGCCGTGTAGGGGGCGTCCCGGCGCCCTCTTGGCGCGCTCCTGGAGCGCCCTGGGGGAGTCAGCCGGGCATCGCCCGAGCGCCGACCGGGGTATTTGACGTCCAGGCGTCCCCAGAGGCCGCTACGCGCGCGCGAACTAGAACTACTGTGAACTTGTTACCGGAGATCTTAGCACGCCTTTGGCCCGTTGGGCCGGCGAATTCCCCTTCCCTTTTTCACACCTCCCGCCCCTCCATCTTCCAAAACTCCAACGGAGGTACTGCCCCTCTTTCGGCGACTTGTGGTGCGAATTCTGGTGATGTGCTAAGTTTGGCCTCGTTGCGTGACCTCCGCAGTTCCCACCCATACTGAAAGGCGCTACAAGGTGACATTCCCAGGAACGACCCTCGCGAATGGATTCCCCTCCCCTCTTCCTCTCTCTCCTTATCTCCTTTCTTCCTTCTCTTAGTCTTGACGCTTCGCGTATCCCCACCAGTCTCGGCTTCCTCGGTGCCTGTGTTCAGACTCCCTGGATGCGCCGTTGCATGTCTCGTTCTGGGGCTGCCCTGCAGACTCCCTGGATTGCACGCTTTGGCTCAGACGCCCTGGGTCGCTGCTGCCTGCCGCCTGACCGCGGCCTCGCGCGCGCTCGCCGTTAGTCGCGGCCGCAGCCCGACCGCGACCGCCCGCCGCTGGCGCTTCCGCCTGCGGCTGTAAAACATAAAAAAATATCCCCACCAGTTCGCCGCAGGGCGTACACCGAATTCCCTGGCATTTTGCTCAGGGCTGCACGATGCCTGAGCTTCCCTGTGTGCCCTCAGCCAGTCAGCCCTCGCCCTGCGGCTCAGCAGCCGCCTTGTGAGCTGGCCCGGCCGGCCCGTTCCGCGCCCTGCAGCTAATTAGGTCGGTTTCCGTGCCCCGGACAGCTTCTGTCTCCGCCTGCGCTCTTCGCTCGCGGGCGCGACCGAAGAGTATCCCCACCAGTTTCGTGCGTGCTGCTGCCAGGGGTCCTTCGGCATCCGCCATCCTGGATGTTGCAGCCAGCTAGCGCTCTTGCCACTGGCAACAATTCTTGGTCGACGGTCCTTCGGACCACCCTGGTTTCCGCGCTTCGCGCCGTCCGGGGCTTCGCCATTGCATTTCTCTTCCCTACATCGACCGACGTTTCGTTGGCCACAGCCACCCTGGTGCCTGGCAGTCGTCTGAAGTACGGTATCCCGTTTTCTCTCTCGGAGTTGTCCTTGTCCGTCGTTGACTTTCCGACGTGTGGCGCCTCCGACTGTTTTGCAGTTGTGCACGCTGGAAGTTCCCCTCAGTCTCAGTCCCGGCAGCCCCCCATTTGAGTCTTCGGCCGCGCTCAGTTGTCGCCTCGCCCGTCGCTCTGTTTGTTTTTCCCGCGTTTCCTTTGCCTGATTAGTCTCTGCGTAGCCCGCTTTGACCTGACACGCCGCCGGCGCCCTCGCCCGCGGCCGCTGACGAAACGGTATCCCCACCAGCCCACCGAAAAAACACTCAGCAAACGAGTTGCCCTGATCAGGGCGATGTAGCAGCAGGCAGTCACGGTCGCGAATCCTCTTGGAGGCATTTGATTGCCGTCGTGGGTTTATCGAGGGCCTTTTTGAAATCATTTGCGGACCTGTTGGGCTCTTTGGGACCTCTTGAGGTTCTCGTGCGTGTGTTGTGTCCTCTTGGGGGCTTTGAAGGGCCTCTTGAGGCCATATTGGGGGCATCGATCGAACAGAAATCCGGCGCTTAATTGCATCCTCCAGTCGGACGCCGAACAGTTTGTTTTATGGGTTTTTTTGGGCGCTCACGGACACTCTTGGGGCCGTCTCGGGCCCCTCCAGGGCCCCTCTTGGTGCTTTCTTGGGCCATCTCGGGGCCATCCTGAGGCCTCAAAAGCCAACCAACAGCGAAACAATGTGAAAACCACCGGACATGCGAGGTCTTTTTTGGTGTTGGAAGAATTTGGGCCTCTTCGGGGGTCCTCGGGAGGATCCGTGGCCACTAACCCGTCGCAAGAGGACCCTTCTGATCCAGTGCGAGGGCCCTTATGATGCCTCAGTGAGAGAGGGGGCGCCATATGACATCAACCATTCCACGCGTAGTTCGCCATTGCGCACATTTCTTTTGTATCTGCCGACGCGTGTCATAACGGATTTGGAATTCAGTAAAACACTCTTTCCTTGTGTTATTCGCAATCGGAGCATGGAGTTGTTGCGTACATTGGGGAAAGTGGCGGATGAGCAGGCGGAAAAGTGGGAAGATCATGCAGGAGGAGGACGACGAGGACGAACAGCAAAAGCGGGAAATGGAGCGGAAGGAGCGGGAGGCGCAGGAGGACCAGGGAAAGGGATCCACAAAAATGGCCCGCGCTTGGACGAGAGCGCAATTCGTAACGACGGGAGCAAAACCGCTATCCTAAACTGAGACCGCTGCTGCAATGGGGCAGTACCGCGGAAAAAAAATTAGCCTGACGAAGGACCCAACCATGTGCAGTTGTGAATACCGCAATCGTGAATACCATCTTCACTCGCGCTCCCTATGGGGCCACGAACCGTGTGAGGGGCGTGCCGAAATTCGTCACGGGGTACACAATACGAACAAAGACGGTCGGTCTGAGTGCGAGAGGCTAAGAACGGGTGAGCCTGAGCGCGAGTGAGTCTGATTGTGAATGAGTCTGCGTGCGAATCAGTCTACGTACATAAATGTGGACGCTCCTCCCGAGGATCGCGCCCGCTTCCTTCCCTTTCTTCTCTGCATCTTTGCCCGTGCGCGCCGATGTCCATGGCTGCTGGCGCGGCGCCGCACGGAATCCCCGCGACGCGCGCTGGTCGCCCCGAAGGGGTCCCGGCGACGCGCGCAGGTCGTCCGCTGTGCGCAGCGGGGAGAGCGAGCAGGCTGGCTGATAGCGGGCAAGCCTGTGGCCGCTGGGCAGAAAGACGACGGGGGCGAGCGAGGCTCTGGTCAGAGCGCAGCGCGAAATTCCCGGGACGCGCGCTGGTCGCCCCGACAGGGTCCCAGCGACGCGCGCAGGTTGCCCGCGGCGCGAAGCCAAACAGTCAGACCGTCGAGAGACGGCGAGGCTCGGGCGGGCCGCTCCTCAGGTCAAGCCTCGCGGATAAACTCCGTGAAGCCCAGCTCCCTGGCGAGGGCCGTCGCCTCCCTTCTGCACCGCCTCGTGCGCGCAGCAAACTGCTCCAGCTGTTTCCGCAAGCCCTCCGGCGGCCCTGCCAGGAAGAACTCGATGCGCGGCGCCCGCATGAGCAGGAGGTCCTCGTGGCGCGTGGCGCGCGAGATCAGGACGTAGAGCTCCAGCCACCAGTCGTCGTCCTCCTTCTTGCCGTTCCCCACTTCGTGGCGGCCGCAGTCCAGGATCACGCCTGGGCGATGTCGGCCGAGGGAGCAGCGCGCCGGAAAGCCGAAGGCCCAGGGCGAGAGTCCACGAGACCGAGAGAAGGTCTGGCTGCGGACCGCTCGGCCCGAAAGGTTCGGCCGTAGACTGCCCGGCGGCGCCGTTCCCCCGCCCCGTCGCCTTCCCGCATGGTGCGCCCCTGGCACGCCACCGTGGCGATGACCCTGCCGTGCGAAAACGGGAAGCCCGTCCGGGTGACCTTGGAGGTGCGGAAGGTGAACGGCTCCGACGTACGGGGCTCGATGAACACCAGCGGGCCCGTGAGGTCCCCCGCGAGGCTGTCGTCGTGGCGCCTCAGGTCGTCCACGAAGGGCGCGCTCGCGTACTTCTCCATGCGCACCCAGAACCCCAGCGGCAAGTGCTTCAGATAGACCCTCTTCTCCCCGTCTCTCTCGGCATTGTCGACTGCGTCCCGATCTCGAGGGTCCACGACGATGTGCACGATCTGGCCCTCGGCGTCCTTGACGAGGCCGTTCTTGAGGTCGAGCGCCTCCAGGAGCCGGATCCGCATGCCGACATGCACCGGGAGCAGTCCGTGCATGCCACCGGTGTTCTTCGGGTTGGCACAGTTCATCATCTTGGCGGCGTCCTTGACATTCATCGTCGGGGCAGACCTGTCGGCGGCCTGCACGAGGAAGAGGGGCTTCTTCAGGACGTCCGCGTCCCGCTGGGAACGCATGTTCATCCACCGCGCCACAGTGTCCCAGTAAGACCCAATCATGTGGCCGTTCTGGAACCTTTCCTCCCGGAGCCGGCGATCATCGGGTTTCAACTGCATGGCGTTCCACGTGGCACGGATGGCCGGCGGGACCTGCTTCCCCGGCTTGCGCAAGAACGCCATGAGATCACGAAGCTTCGGGTCTTTGAAGCGGTTGGACGCCTGGAGCTCGAAGCACAGCGGCGTGTTGCAGAAGAGCTTCATCACGGCCTGGTACTCTGGAGCGAGGTTGATGCCCGCCTTCGCCAGTTCCTCGAAGCTGGAGATGAGGGACACTTTGCCTCCCGTCGGCTTCAGCTGCAAGAAGTCTCCCAGGTGGATCACGATCGGCATCCGGCCGAAGGCTCCGCCGACCTGGTCGTACTCCCGCTCCTCCGCGCCCCACTCGGCCTTGCGTCCCAGGTAGGACCGGAAGGCGAGCATGTTGTACAAGTTGGGCGAGATCATGCTCACCTCCTCCAGGATCAAGCACCTGACCGCCTCCCACGTGTCCTGTAGCGCTTTCAGCTTGCCCCCCGCGGGTATGTCCTTGTTCCTGAAGGAGTGCACTCCTATGACTCCCGCTCCTCCTCCTCCTCCTCCTCCTCCTCCTCCTCCTCCTCCTTCTTTCTCCTCCTCTTTCTCCTCCTCCTCCTCCTCCTCCTCCTCATCCTCATCCTCCTCCTCCTCCTCCTCCTCCTCCTCCTCCTCCTCCTCCTCCTCCTCCTCCTCCTCCTCCTCCTCCTCCTCCTCCTCCCCCTCCTCCTCGCAACGCTTTCCTAGGTGATGCTGGGTGGGGGACAGGCAAACCTGCGTCCTAGGTGGAGCCCCCCATGGGGCCACGAAACGCTGTCCTGGGTGGGGGAGACGCATGCGAACACCCCCACTGGAGCCTTCGGTGGAGCTCCCTATGGTGCCACGAAACGCTGTCCTGGGTGGGGGAGACGCATGCGAACACCCCTATTGGGACCTTCGGTGGAGCTCCCCATGGGGCCACGAAGCGCTGTCCTGGGTGGGGGAGACGCATGCGAACACCCCCAGTGGGACCTTCGGTGGAGCTCCCCATGGGGCCACGAAGCGTTGTCCTGGGCGGGGGAGACGCATGCGAACACCCCTACTGGGACCTTAGGTGGAGCTCCCTATGGGGCCACGAAACGCTGTCCTGGGTGGGGGAGACGCATGCGAACACCCCCACTTGGGCCTTCGGTGGAGCTCCCTATGGGGCCACGAAACGCTGTCCTGGGTGGGGGAGACGCATGCGAACACCCTTATTGGGACCTTCGGTGGAGCTCCCGATGGGGCCACGAAACGCTGTCCTGGGTGGGGGAGACGCATGCGAACACCCCTACTGGGACCTTCGGTGGAGCTCCCTATGGGGCCACGAAACGCTGTCCTGCGTGGGGGAGACGCATGCGAACACCCCTATTGGGACCTTCGGTGGAGCTCCCTACGGGGCCACGAAACAGTGTCCTGGGTGGGGGAGACGCATGCGAACACCCCCACTTGGGCCTTCGGTGGAGCTCCCTATGGGGCCACGAAACGCTGTCCTGGGTGGGGGAGACGCATGCGAACACCCCCAGTGGGACCTTCGGTGGAGCTCCCTATGGGGCCACGAAACGCTGTCCTGGGTGGGGGAGACGCATGCGAACACCCCTACTGGGACCTTCGGTGGAGCTCCCTATGTATGGGGCCACGAAACGCTGTCCTGCGTGGGGGAGACGCATGCGAACACCCCTATTGGGACCTTCAGTGGAGCTCCCTATGGGGCCACGAAACGCTGTCCTGGGTGGGGGAGACGCATGCGAACGCCCCCAGTGGGACCTTCGGTGGAGCTCCCTATGGGGCCACGAAACGTGTGAGGGGTGTGACGACATGGGCGGTGGGGACGATGATGAAGACGATGATGAGTATGAGGATGTGGATGAGGATGATGCTGCAGATGATCATTCTGACGGAAGAGAGAAGAGGAGGGGGAGGAGGGAGGAGGGGGAGGAGGAAAGAGGAGAGGAACGCGGGGCACCGTCTCTTCAAAACGAGGACCCAACACCACAGGATGGTTGGGAAAAACAATAATTGCAGATATTCTGAGGTCGTGTGCAGAAACAGAACGCGGATTTGGGAGGGCTACTCCCTGGCCAGCTTCGGGGGGGAGAGGAGAGAGGTATTCATATTGAGTAATTGTCGAGAGGCGAACGTGTCCCCCAACAAGAAGAGGAAGGCTGGGATGACTAACTCCCTACGCCACCTGCGCCCAAAATGCTGGTGGGATTCCTCCGCTGTTTCCCTTCGCGAGCTGCTAATCCTCAAAACCTAGACACAGGAGGCAACCTCTGGAGCTCCGCGATTTCGGCGATAGTTCATTGGCACACGCCCGTACAAAAGAATTGACCTGCCCAGGACGAGCATAGCGTGTATTTCTTGATGGAGAGCTTGACAGGCCGTGGCGCTGTCACACGGGAGACATACCTAATATGTTGCATGATGTGTTCGTGCGCGTATGTGGCCATCATCTGTGCGCATGCAACATTTTCCATGCGATGGGTTCGGTTCCGTAGTTTCTCCTACTGCCGGTCAACCATTGCGATATGGCAGTGTTCACGTAAGGTTTGCAAACCTGGTGCTTTGTGGTCTTGAATATTTCAAGGCGAGATTGCCGTTCGTTTTAAGTTGTAAATGTGAGTGGATTGTCCTCATGAAAGTCTTCGCCCAGGCATCATGTGTAATGCTTGGACGAGGTCTTCTCAACCTCCACAGTCGTACAACCCTTCAGAGCTCTAGTTGCAGGGGGCAGAGTGCGCAGAGCGTATCACATTATTTGTGTATATGGTATGTGCGATGTTGAATTGCTGTCGTTGCCCACCTTGCCCCGAGTGATGCGTTGCGCGCTCGCTCCTGATCTTCGCATTCGCGGTGCTGGTGCCAGCACGGGCGCGGGCCTACAGGCGGCGACCTGTTCACCGCAATCCGCGATATCGGGCGCATCAACGAGGATGGTTGCGGCAATTTCCGCATTTTGTTTCAGTTCCAGAGGTTCAGGGAGAGTTTCTTTCTCTGTGATGCTCTTGGGTTTGACGGGTGTTTGGCGCGAGGAGGAGGAGGAGGAGGAGGAGGAGGAGAAATGGCGGAAGGTTGAGGGAGCAAGGGGTGAACATTACCGGGCATAGAGTTTGGAAAGTGGGTGCGTGCGGGAGTAGGCACCAGGTTGAGAAAGACGGGGAAGGGGGGAAGGGGGGAGGCTCGGGGGAGGAGGTTGAAGACGTGTGTGTTCGCGCGGCGGGGGGGAGGGAAGGGTAGGGGAAGAAGAGACACTAGGGGAAGCGTAAGACTCGAGTTTGCCATGACTCGGGTTTGCCGCCGCTTTTTTGACGGTCATGGCATGGAGTTTGACGGTACGGTGTTCGTGGGGTGTTTGCAGTGGAACCTCCCGTGAAGTCTCAGACTATGTGCCGTCGTCTTTCTGTTGGCCTTGCCAGCCATATTCTAGTCTCAAGAATTTTAGTTTTACGACTTCCCGGGAGGAGCAGCTAGGGGAGGAGGGGGGGATGGAGGAAGACAGGTGATCGCACGCTCGTGCCCCAGGTCGCTCGTTGGTCGTGCCTCGCTAATCCCGCTTACGCCACCGGGCCGGCGCGCCCCGCTGAATGTGCATGCGTCGGATGGCCGAAGCAGCTCGCCGATCACGAAATCATGGCGCACATGGCTTCCCCACCCCGGCACTTCCTCATCCCTCCATGCTTCGAAGGAGAAAAGCTACATAGGTGTTTAGCGAGAGAGTAGAAGTATAGAGAGTTTAGGATCATAAGTACGAGGGTAAGGGAACCTCTGAGACCCTTCCTCATCCATAGCCTCGTTGGTACAAAAGGTTCCATGGTAACAGAGCTGGCTACCGCCAGTTCCCGCCAGCGCCGCAGCAGGCGTTGTCCTTCCCCGCGCGCGCCCAGCTGCACAGAGCGCGGGGCGATCCAAGGCGGGCAGGCTCGACCAGAACGAGCCAGAGGCGGCCCAGCAGAACCGCGAGACGAAGCAGAACCCAAAGGGCCACGGAGGCCCAGAGGACAGGAGCGAGGTCCCAGACGAGGCCTACGAACATAGTAACAAGGTCGATAACAACCCAGAGGAGGTCACCATAGACACAGAAGTGGAGATCCACATCCAAGACGAGGTCTACGTGATCAGATGGTAGAAGAAAGCGTTGGAGCGGAGTGGCAAGGTTCAGATTTCCAGCCTCCATCATTCGACGGCCTAGAGGAGCACTGGCATGAATGGAGCTTTGTGATGTGAGCCTGCTTTGGCGGTCAAGCCACAGGCACACCGACAGCCAATCCTGGACGCGGCAGAGCAGGGAGGATATCCAGACATACCAGCCGAAAGAATTCACGGCCAGACGGGGGCAGCAGGTACGGAAGCAACATTGACGGTGGCACTGTCAACCCGCACAGTAAGGATGAACAATTTTCTAAGGTTGCCCTTGCATGCTCCCCCTTCAGCCTGTCCCTGGCCCTTGCCGTTGTTGCTGGCCGTGCCCCGCTCGCAAAGTGTCGGCTTGGCCTTTTGAAGCCCTTGCGTCCTTGTCGTGCGTCCCACTCATACGGGTACGCTGTAGTCGCCTTCGCACTGTAAGTCGGAGGAAACGCTCTGGTTATCACACGTGGCGTCGAGGTGCAGACTGGCGCTCAGGCATGGAGTGGTTGAACGAACGGATTTGAAACAGGGACGTCGTTGAAAACACGAAACACCATGACCAGCATCTTGAGAGTGAAGCACACCCCACATCCGCCAGTAGAATGCGAAGGGTGCCACATGAATCGGGAAAGAGGCGTACGGGGATGCGAAACGGCATCGGGAAGTATGTTCCACGCAGGCGTGAAGAAACACCTCTGCCTACGTAAGGCGCCCAACATTAGCAGGACGGTCCTACATACGCAGAGCGAACCAGCGTACGACGAGCTGATTGCCGCGACGGCCCAGTACTTGCAAGTTTCGGCGGCCCACGACGGCGGATACCACCAAGTTCCACCGCCAGCAAAATGATTGCCCAGACGCCCAGGGACCCCAACGACACCACCACCGCCAGCGAACGATTGGTTGGCAGGTACCACCGCTAGCAAGTGCCAACGCCAGCAAAACGATTGCACAACGCACTGACGAAACCGACCCGCTATGGAAGTCACGGCGGCCAGGGCGGAAACAAGTTCGGAGGTGGCAAAATAATGGCTTCATACAAGTGCGGAATACAGAAGGAAAGACGTGAAACAAGGGTGGGGGCCCACTTCAGTCGACAGATCGAAGCGCGGCCATGTCATAGTCACCCTGGAGAATGTCGGGAGTGCCCGGACAACGATTGTGCCAACCTGTGGAGGCCGATGCTACTTTTCCACGGGCTCTAGGCACCAAGGTGGAGGTGAGCGAGTCAAGGGCCCGCAGGAAACAATCAAAATGGAAAGGCGTCAGTCAGCGGGCTCGCGAACGGTCCTCGGTTCCCACTGGGCAGCTCAGCATCTTACACTCGGGCCCTCGATCTGCCACGCCCGTGGACAGCAGCCCAACAGGATCAGCATCCAGGGCGGATCGTGGCCATCATGCGCCCGACGGCGCCGGAGGACGAGCTCGAGCGAAACCGAAAATTCGCGGTCGCAGAGTAGCTGGGCATTTCAGATCGAGGTCCGAGGGCGACGGGGGCAGCGCGTGAATGCTCGCGGGCAAATGCGCGGACGAGCACGCGCTCGCGCGGCTGGTTTCTCCATGGGGCCCGATTGCGGTCAGCCTTGGCCCGAGACATCACGGCGACAGACGGCAGTCTTTTGAGGCGTTGCGCCTCGACGACGGCGGCGCGTCACGTCGCTGGAGAGACGGATCGCCGTGGAGTACCACGTGGCCACTGCGAAGCAGCCCATCATGATCGCGGGCAAGTCCTGCAGCAAAGCCCCAAGGAGGGGGGCGTGGCCCGACGGGCGAGCGGAATCGCAATTCTGAACGCGATTGGCAATCGCCGCACGCCGGCGCGCCGGGCGCGAAGCAACGGCGCCCGGAGCAGAGCGGCGGGGAACCCGGCGGCGGTGAGCGGCCGCAGCGCGGCCAGGAGAAGATCGCGACGGACGGGCAGTGCGCCGGGCATTCGCGGGAGACACATTGCTGGATCACCAGCGCTGGCAACGGCGGCAGTCGCAGTTCCGCGACCGGCGGCGCTTCTTCGGCCAGCCGTGGAGGCGCGCGCGGACGAGCCGATCGCCGACGGAGGGGTCTGCGGCAGTGCCGGGCGCGCGCGCGCGGCAGGAGACCGAGGTGTCAGCTCGGGAACTACTCGAGCCAAGGCGGCCCAGCTCGCGGGAGTGCGAATGGCGCGAGGCGACGCGCTAGCTAGCGGAACTCTGGCGCCCGGCGTGCGCGAGCGCGAATGCGGGCGGCGCGGCGCGCATGGGGGTCGACAAGGGGGGCGCGATTATCTTTCTGTTCAGGTTCGACAGCGCCCAAGCAGGAGATGAGGGCCCAGTGAACGCCGAGTTCGCTGCCGGCAGCCCCGGGTCGACGCTGCGCGCGAAGCGCGGCGATCATCGCGAGCGGGCGCGGGCCGCAGCGGGCCGACCTCGGCAACCGACGAGTCGACTTGCATGCCATGGGGGGCAGCAGAGTTCGCGCCCATCGAGCCGCCCAGGGGCTGGGCGATCGAGGATGGGGTCTGCGAGGAGACGCTCGCGCGGCAGTCGCAGATGCGCTGCCCCCAGAGACGCGGCGCGTCACCATGACCAATGCGCGGTGCTGGAGGACGAAAAGACGCGCGCGCCCACGCACCGGTGGCCCGTCGCTGCCGTCGGCGAGGCGGCCGCGGCGGCGGCGCCCCTGGGAGGGGATGGACAGACGCCGGAGCGAGGCGTGCCACCGGCGCCAGGAGCGAGAGCGCAGCCGCCGGGAGACGCGCCAGGAACGGCCCCAGGAGGAGATGCAGCAGCGGCGGCGGCGCCACGCGACGAGGTTGACTTGGACAGGCAGGGATTGCAGCCCATGCGGCAGACGGATCAGGAAGCTTGCCCCGTCGGCCCCGGATTCAACGCCCCCGCCGTCGGTCGGGCTCCCGCTGGCAGACCCTTGGGGCGGATCGCAACGGTGGTGGCGGACATGGTCGACGCCGGCAATGGCCTTGCATAGCTGCCATGATCGGTGCGATCCAGGAGATGCGAGGAGCCGGCGGCGGAGGACCGCGAGGCGCGCGTCGCCGAGGGCGACTTCGCGGATGGGCGGTTGGAGCAGCTGGAGGAGATCGCAGGCGCGGGCAGGGGGGTCTCGGAACACGTCCCGTTCGGCTAGGCGGCGCCCAAGATCCCGACAGGCACGCGGGTCGAAACTTGCCAGCGGCAGCGGGGTTGGCAGGAGGGCGGCGCGAGGGCGCGGGTAACAGGCCACCAATCCGTCATTGCCCCGCTCCAAAGAGATGCAGATCAACGCGAATGTGAACGATCGTGCGGTAGGGCTCGGCGCTTGCAGTGGCGGGTCTTATTTTGCGCCCCCGACGGGGGGCTGAATCTCCTGGGCGGCCCCGACTGGAGCAGGAGTTCCACCGGGATGCGCGCGCGAGGCCTTATGCATCCGCCCAGGACCCAAGGGCCCCCGAGGCACGGGAGAACCACGGCGCAGGCACAATGTGGCATATTGTTCTGGGCGGTGGTGGATGCGACGGGTGGATCTTCTTCACGACGGTGGGCAGTGCCCAGGCAGGTCGACATGCAGGTGGCATCGCCGACGGAGTGAGTTCTAGCTATGACGAGAAACTGCAGTTCTCCGATGCGCATCGGGCGGCTTCGCCATCGCGAGCCAGGCCAGTCCAATCAACGACGCGTTGATGGAGTTCGGGCCAGCGAACGCGAGGCCTGCGCCATGGCCAGATACGGAAAACCATATTATACAGAAGGACGACGTTGACCACCACGGCGCGAATTATCGCGGAGCGCGCTGGACGCGCGTGGGCGAGCTACTACAGCGATCGAACATTCGATTTGGCACCCAGCATGGAGAGGGCGCGTCCATCCACGGCATGGCGGCGCCCACTCACAGAAGCCAACGGCGACTCAAGAAGATAGCGGGTCATCTGGCGGGGGCCAGGGAGATGGGGGCGATGATCATCCCTAGCAAGCAGTGCAGCCACATCGCCCAGCGCAGGGTCGACGCGGACTGGGCCGATTGCGTGGGCGATAGGAGTTCGGCCAGCGGCGGCGCGGCACTAGGCCCGTGAGCTGCAGAGGCACCGAGCCTGGCATCGCAATTGCGAGACTGCGGATGGGGAGATCGCGCCGGCTATGGCCAGCAGCGCGCTGCACACTGAAGAGAAGAGACGCCCTGGCATGGTGAAACACATCGGGATGCGCTTCCTTCTTGCCCATCGACAATGGGGAGAGCAGAAACGATTGGAGTTTGAGAAGGTCGGAACCGATGGAAATGAGAGCGACATGTTTGCGAGGCCGTCGCCGAAGGAGAAGCTGGACAAGTTCTCGAGGATGGCGGGCCTGGCGAGCCCCGTCCGCCCGCGCTCTCCTCGCGAAGGTGAGGCAGCAGCTCTTGAGGGGAAAGAGAAGAAGCGGATGTGGCCTGAGTTGTCAAAAGGGGGTGCGCAACAGCTCAGCGAGCCAGCGAAGGAGTCTGCCCCCACTCCCAGGAGCCCAGAGTATGATTGCGGTTTTTAGATTCCCTGTGCGGGGCCTTGAGCCCACGAGGCTCGACGGCCTCGAGGGCGCGTTGAGGGGGCAAACTGAAGTATAGAGAATTGGGAATGATGAGTACGATGGTGATGGGGACCTCCGAGACCCTTCCTCATCCATAGACCCTGTGGCATGCATGTTGTCAGTCAGCTACAATGCTCGGAGGTCCTCGCGGAGCTCCTGCATCGGCGTTGGACCTCGGCGGTGCCAGTGGCGCCGTCCTTGGTACGCCTAGCGAAAGGATGCAGGCACAACCGCTTGCGCAACCATTGAAGTGTTGGAGGTCGGATTATCAGGAGCGTCGCTGGGCACGTCCCCCTGGCGCGGGGCGCGATGGGGGCGGCGCTGGAAGCGGTGTCCGGGGGCCCAGCCGTGCTGAAGAAGACTATTCGTGGACCGCCGAAAGAATATATGCAATCTACATATTGAAGTTCCTTTCCTCCCTCTCCACTCCCCGCCCACCCTCCCATCCTCTTTCGCCCGTCTCACCCCCTCCAGTCATCCCCTCTTTCCGGGTCCTTTTGGAAGGACTTCTATTCGCAGTGTTCGGTGCGTACCGATGTTTTCGCATTGTTGTCTGGGCAGCCAAATCGAATGTCAATATGTTGGCTCGGTCATTCCATTTGGAAGACGTATGCCATTGCTGCCGCCCCCCCCGCTCCCCCAGGCATCGAGGGATCTGTCGTCGCCATGGTCGTCGTCGTCATCGTTCCCTCTTTCTGTTCATCCTGCTCCTAGCCCTCTTTGATCATCGGGGCTTTATTATGTCAGTTTCGGGCCCGATCAGCTCAATATCCTAGCCTTCTTGCTCCTCCATTGTGGTTTAGTCGAGCCTTTCGGGGCAAACTTTGGGCAATCGTTGGCCACATTGGGGCGGTAGGGACAAGCACAAACCACGAGTCGTCATGGCGACAATGTTACAAATTGATTCTCGCCCTTGGAGCGTGGAGCGATTGCAATTTACGGGGCGTCGTGGCCCGGAACCGCAGAACCAAAATAGTTTACCCGTGACCGTGTCCTTGGGATCGCCGGCCCAGCGCAATCCATAGAGGATTTCTGCTTTGGGGGCGCTGGCCCAGCGAATTTTACAGGGGATCGCGGTAGGGATCTCAGCTTCGTGGGCGAGGATGCATCTCAGCTTCGTGGGCGAGGATGCAGAGTGAATCGTTGTTGGCGGATCGTATTCTTAAGACGGGGATTCAGCGTTTCGACGGAATACGGCTTGGTACTGCGGATGCTGCGCAATCTACTAGATAAGGAGAGCCATGAATTGAAGATCCAGCGTGATTTGCGGGGGACTGGCCCGTTTCAGCGGGTCCAGTTTCATGTGCGCGGAACTGGCAGTCGTATCCAACAACATGTGCAACGGGATGTTTGTCTCGGAGCGTAGACTTAGTGTCTTCTAAAATGGGTTGTGACCTTAGTCGCCCAGACCAACCGTAATTTGCAATGGAACGTGGTCTTCAGAACGCGGTCGCCTTGTATATCAAGGGAGCTCAATAATCATAGGGCGTTCCAAGATGGTGATTCAAAGGTCATGTTGGGGGCCAGCTGGGGAGAATTTCAGGGGGGTCGTATACACCTACATTTTTCGATCTCGCACATTACTTCAGCAAGTGTAGCGTGACTGTTCACAGACATGTGGCCCCGCAGGAGGGCCAGTGTATGCAATTTTGTACGGATGAGCGCAACACACGAAGCACAGCGGGGCAGCGTTTGGTTGATATGACAGGCTGCGCAGCAGCAAAGCAGAGGTCAGTTTGTGACGCCAGGCCAGTTTGCGAGTAGCCGTGTAAGAGTGACAGGCTGCTCACATGTTTGCTGGCTAAACCAAGCAGCAATGCATCTCCCTTTATTGATGATGGTGTGGTCAGTCTTTCCCGGTGGCCTCGCTTGCTGCAGACATTCAGTTTCGCTCTCTAGCGCGGTCTGCCCTTGCACCTCTGGAGGAGCAGGCGTTGTTCTTCATCGCATCGGTTGTACTTGCGATCGAGTACCTGCATTCCAGGGGCATCATGTACAGGCTGTTTCTCTGTCTGTGCTGAGGAGATGGAGAGATATATGCAGGAGATGTGCAGACTTCAAACCACCCACGGGCAACGGAGGCTCAGATGCAGCGAGCGATCGCTTAAAGACAACAGCCAGAGGCTGGGGTCTAGCCAAGGAGATCCCATAGGTGCAGCCTTCCGCGGAACACCTGCGAAGCGCGTGCGCAGGACGTTGCAGCCGCATGCGGAGGGAGTGTACGAGAAGAGGCAGGGCACAGTAATTAAGAGGCGATGAAGTAGGCGAACGTGGACCTGTTCTATTGTCAGATCCAACGGTTTCCGCCAGGAGGCTATATGGCATGTAAGTTTCGGGGAGCGGGCGGGCATGTAGTGTACGTTCGCCGTCGTACTTGGAAGTTGCCCCGTGGCCGCGTCGTCAAGCGTAGCACGAGTGCGTCGGCGCACATGCGTTATTGTGTTGATTCAGGCCTTGGTCTGCTCATATCACATAGTTATTGTTGACAGCAGTTTTAATACAACTGGCGCACATATGTTAGCCAGCGTGGACACCAACACACTCTGCTTTAGCAATGAATGTTGTACAATCTCTGTGGAACAAGCTTTGTGGTGCAATATAGACGGTGAATTGTATGCTGTGCAGTATGTGTTGTGCAAGCTACGTCATGCACTGTGCGAGGTGCGATCGATGTGGTGCACGCTATGTGGGGGGCAATATGTGTGATGCAATCTGCGTGGTGCAATATCTACTGTGCAGCCGATGTGGTACAATCTATGCGGTGCAATCTATGTGGTGCAATTCGCCCTGCCGAAATTGACGCTATCAATTCCGATGTTTGCGCAGCCATCCGACCCACCCGACCGCAAGTTGGTGTGCAAAACCTATGCGGCGGTGATTTTGATTACTGCTTGGCGCTGACTGGCGCATCGCTGCGGCCGCGCTAGCTCGCGCAGGCTCGCGCCCAGAGCGGCCAACTAGTCTGGCGCGACCGACGCGGCTTCGGTGGCGCTGTTCGCTGGGGACTTTCTGGCGCGTCTCGCAGGCCGCGCTGACGCACGGACTATCAGTGCGAGTCGGTGGTTCGGGCGGGCGCAGTATCATGGCGGTTCAAGGCGTTCGAATGTGTCCGACGCGCGCACTCGAGAGGCCCATTTGGTCGCACTCGATGAAAACATTGAAGAGCCTAAGTTCCCCATGCGCAAAATCACAAGATCGCGCGCGTAGACTTGTTTCGAACCCCTTTATTGCAAAACCGTTGTTCCTATGTATGACACCAAACCAGTTTCCGGACTTGAAGCCCGTACGAATTTGACGAGGTGTTTGAAGAATTCTGGAATGCGCGCGCGACGAAATGCGCGTGAACGCTTCGTCGGGCGATTTGCAGGGGATTGTCTTGCGAATGGATAGTTTCTGGTAAGCGAGTGGCATGTATTCGCAAGTTAGTATGAGCGAGGGGACATACGTATCTTAAACTGCCCGTCCCCAGGGTGGGCGGATAACCCTTTTGGGGGAGGGCTGGCAACTCCAAGTCCATGTTTTATAACCATGTGTGGTGCGATATAAGTGGAACAACCTGACTGGTGCAATCGAGCAAGCTAGTGCAAGCTATGGTTTGCGATATATGTTGTGCAACGTTGGTGGTAAATCTATGTAGTGCGATGTACGCGGTGCAATATCCAAGACGCCTACGGCGAGTCACCGCCGCCCCCTGCCTTTTCGGAAGCGCCTATGTGGCCGAACGTTCAGGCCAGAGCCCAGCCAAGCTATCGGACCATGTGTTCCCCGAATCGTTTGGGAATCCTTCGGGGGAACACGTGGGGGAGGACGGGGAAGAGGAGGAGAGTGAGGAATGGGAGTGTTCGGGGCCCCTTGGGCGTGTTCGGGGCCCTTCGGGCCTTCCTGGAGGACGTCTTGGCGGGCTCTTGGGCCGTCTTATCTTGGGGTCATTTGGGGCCGTCTTGGGTGCATCTTGGGGCCATCTTCGCTGCCTTGGATGCCTTCTTGGCCGTCTTGGAGGCGTCTTGGCTGCCATCTTGGCCGTCTTGGAGGCCATCTTGGGCGTCTTGGGGGCCATCTTGGGCCGTCTTGGGCTCTTCTTGGGGCCCTCTTTGGGGCCTCTTGGGCTGTCATGGGGCCATCTTGGAGGCCTCTTGGGCGCTTTTGGGACGATGTTTGGGGTCTCTTCGGCCGTCTTGGGCCGTCGGAGAGCTGATAAGAAGAAAATGCCAAAATCGCTCAAAAACCTAAGGACGATCAATGATGATTGCCTTTCGGGCCTTCCTGGAGGAAATCTTGGGGGCCTCTTGGGAGCCTCTTAGAGGCATTCGGGGGGCCTCTTTCGGCCTGTTGGGGGCGTTTGGGTGCTGCTCGGAGGCCTCTCTGGCCGTCTCAGAGCATTCCTGACACGTCCGATTCTGTCGGAAGCCGTCTTGGGGGCCTCCCTGGGCTGATTTGAAGGCCTCTTGGGCCGTCTGGGGACCCTCGTGGGGCCGTCTTGGGGGCCTCTTGGGCCGTTCTGGGGCCGTCCTGGAGGCCCCTTGAGCGATCCTTCGGGGCTCTTAGGCCGTCTCGGGTCGTCAGAACGCCGGAAAGAAGCAAATGCCAAAATCCTTGAACAACCTAAGGAACATCAATGATGTTGGCCTTTGGAGGCATCTTGGGCCGTCTTGGAGGCCTCTTGGGAGCCTCTAGGGCCGTCATGGGCCATCTTGAGGCTATCTTGGACCGTCTTGGGTGCATCTTAGGCCGTCTTGGAAGCATTTTGGAGGCCTCTCTGGGCCGACTGGGGGCCCTTTTGGGGTGCTCCAGGGCCGTCTTGGAGGCCATCTTGGGCATCTTGGAGGCCTCTTGGGCCGTGTTGGGGCCCTCCTGGGGCGGTCTTGGGGGCCTCGTGGGCCGTCATGGGGCCATCTTGGCGGCCTCTTGGGCGATCTTGGGGCGATCTTGGGGGCCTCTTGAGATCATGTTGGGGTGTCCTGGGAGGCCCTCGGGGCCGAAGGCTCGGAATGTCCACTCGGATTCCCTATCTGAGCCCTCTCTTGGGGCCGTCTTTTGGCCCTTTGGGGGCCGTCTTGGGGACCTCTTGGGGGCCTTTTGGTGTCTCCTTGAGGGCCCTCGGGGCCGAGGGCTCGGAATGTCCGGGTCAGTTCCCCATTTGAGCCCCCTCTTTGGGCAGTTCTTGGACCGTCTCGGGTGCCTCGTGGGTCGCTTTGGGGCCCTCTTGGGCCGTCTTTGGGCTGTCTTGGGGGCCTCTGGGGCCGTCTTGAAGCGAATTTGGGGGCCTCGTGGGCCGTCTTGGAGCGTCGGAAAGCCGAACAGACGAAAGATCAGAAAAGGCTCAAATATCTAGGGAAATCAATGATTCGTGCCTCGTGGGGCCCTCTTGGGACGCCTCTTGGAACACTCTTGGGACGTCTTCGGGGCATCTTGGGCCGTGTCGAGGGCATCTTGGGCGTGTTGGGCCACACTTGGGCCTTCTCGACCACCTTGGGCGCGTTTTGGGCCCATGTTTGGCCGGCTGCGCCACTGGAGGACGCGCGCGGCACGACTGGGGAATTCCGGGGAATACAGAAATCCCAGGGAGTCCCCGGAAATCCCAGGGAACCTTAGAAATGCCCCGACATTATCGGACGTCTTTTTGAAATTGGCAGCCCAGTCTTTAAAGCTTTGTACAACCCTACAAGTCATTTCTCAGGGCTGCATGAGCCTTGGGGCACTCCACTACGTGCTGCAGGCACGGTGGCGAATATGTGGGGCAACCCATGTTGTGCAGTATCTGCGGTGCAATCTATGTTGTGGAATCTATGTGGTGCATTTTAGGTTATGCAATATGTGCTATGCACTCTATGCCGTGCACCACGTGTACTGCAATCGATGTGGAGCAGTCTGCGTAGTGCAACATATGTGGTGCAATCGATGTGAAGCAGTATAGGTTGTCAAATCAATGTTGTGCAATCTATGCTGTGAAGTCAATGTCTTGCAATCAAGTCTATCTGGAGGGATATATTTGATGCCATATGTGTGGTGCAATCTAGGTGGTGCCATCTATGCGGTGCATCCCGTGTGGTGATACCTATGTGGTGCAATCAATGTTGTTCAATGCATGTGGTGCAGTATGTATGGTGCAGTTTGGGTGGCGAAATCCACTGTGCGCAATATTTGTTGTGCACTCTATGTGGTACAACCTAGCTGCCAGACCCGCGGTCGGGCCCAGACGACGAGCGGCGACGGGGCGGCGATGGCGACAACATAGCCGCCAGACCGACAGACTGGCCCAGACGACGGGCGGCGACGAGGCGGCGTCGGGGCGACGACGTCGACGACATAGCCACCATACCGAGAGACAGGCCCAGACGACGGGCGGCGACGGGGCGGCGACGGCGATTACATAACCGCCAGACCTACAGACAGGTTCAGAGTCTGAGAATACAATTGGGAACCCCGAAGTGCAAGCACTGTTTGGGTGCAGTCTAAACAGTGCAGTCTACTTCTGCCTGGTACAGGCAATGTGGCTCAACATGTGTACATGTATGTGTACATCTATGTTGTGCCATATTTGTGGTGCAATATATATTCCTCTTCTTATATTTTCGCAAGCCCATGCGGGGAAAAAACCCGTCCCCCCAAAAAAAACCGGACTCCCCGGATCTGGGGCTTTGGGAACCTCCAGACGGGCCTCGAAGCGGCCCCCGGGCGTCGCAGGGCGTTTTGCCAAGCCTTCCCAGCACACCTAGGGCGATCAGGGGGGTCATCGGAGACGTCCCAGAGACCCCCAAGACAGCACAAGAGCGCTCCAAGAGTGACCGACGTGACCTCAAGATGGCCCAAGAGGCCTCCAGGACGGCCCCAAAGAGGCCTCCAAGAGTACTCCCAAGAAGGCCCCCCGCGGCAAAAATCATTGAGTTTCTGTTGGTGTTTGGTGAAGCCTGCGGTTCTCCTCTATTCGGCTTCCCGACGCTCCAAGACGGCGGTCTTCTGGGCGTTCGAAGCCGCCTGGGGGGCTCCAAAATCGCCCCACAACCGTCCGAAAGGGCTTCCAGGCAGTCCAAAAGAGCCCCAAAACGGCACAACAGGGGTCCAAGATGGCCCTCAGAGAGCCCCGCATGACGGCCCAAGATGGCCCAAAGACACCTTCCGAAGCATTCCGAATCGTGACCCGGTCGTTCAGGGAGACCGCGGTTGGAGGCAGGGTGGCCCGAGGAAGCCCCCGGAGGACCCCAGAACACGCCCAGGAGGCCTGCATAAGGCCGTAAGAAAGCCTGAAACAATTTTTGTGAGGCCCCCAGAGGCTCTCCAAGGAGGAGCCTCCGCAAAAAAGAGTTGAGGAGGATGGGGAGTGTGCGCAGGGTATAGCGAAAAAAAGGAAACAGAAGCATGGAGAAAGGATAACGAATAACATTATTATAGCGGCGATGCCGGAAAAGGCAACCAGGAGTTATCGCTAAATTGTCGGCTTGACCTTCCTGCTATTTCGCCGGCATACCAAACTTCAAGGACCAAGGTGCATGGCGCGAAGCGCCACTGCCGTCTTGTATATATATATATATATAAAGATGCAATCCATGTGGTGCAATCCACGCGGTTCAGTGTGTGCTGTCCATTCTAGGTGGTGCAATATATGCGGTGCAGTCTATGCTGTGCAATCTATGTGTTGCATTCCATGTTGTGCACTATGTGTTGCAATCGATGTAGTGCAACCTATGTGGTGCAGTATAGGTTGTACAACATATGAGTTGCAATACATGTTGCGCAACCTATGCGGCGGAATATATGATGTGAAAGCTATGCGGTGCAATCTATGTGATGCAATCTGTTCGGTGCCATCTTTGTGGTGCAATATATGCGGTGCAATTTACGTTGTGCAATCTAGGGCGGCGACGGGGCGGCGATGGCGACAACATAGCGGCCAGACCGACAGACTTGCCCAGACGACTGGCGGCAACGGGCTGGCGACGGCGACTAAACTACATAGCATCCAGATCAGCAGACAGGCCCAGACGACGGGTGCCGACGAAGCGGCGACGGCGGCTACATAGCCGCCAGACCAGCAGACACGCCTTGACGACGGGCGGCGACGGGGCCTCGACGGCGGCCATAGAGCCGTCAGAGCGGCAGGCAGACCCAATTCCCCGGGACAGAAGTAAGAGTCCCTAAGTGCAAGCGATGCTTGGGAGCTACTTGAGAGACCCACCAGTATCTGTACATATATATACATATATATACACACACGCATATGCACACGCTTGCTCTTTGCGTGCTGATGACCTTCACGATATACGCAGGCACTCGTCTGGTCGGCCATTACGCTCGCCGCGATAGGCATGGCCCAGGTTGCATACGAACTAAATATTATGTCCCTCTAGTTTACCAGTCCCCGCCCCTAGAACCAGTCATCCTCTTGATCTCGGCCCTCCTCTCTTCGCCGATATTATTTCTCCTCACCCCAGTCTCATTGAAGGGAACAAGGTGTGGTTTTCAAACCCAGCGAACACATCAGTTCCTGCTCCATGTTGTCGCCCGTGCCTTGCGCTCTTACATCGCACTCGAGCTTTCTGCCCCGCTGGGGCAGCCCTACCCACTAGCAACATCGCATCCAGCAGCAGTAACAGCATCATCATCAGCATTACCGCTGCCAGCAGCAAAGCCAGCAGCCTGCATGTATCTAAATGTGATTGGTACGTGGCGGATAGCGCGGCAGAGCGGAATCCTTGCACATGTGTCCGCCAGCGTTCGGCCTTGCTTGGACGAGCACGCTCGACCTTCCGCTATGTAGTCATCAAGTGGCCCCTCATACTCCGCGTATGACTCCAGCCGCGTGTGGGTCCAGCGTCCTGGTCGAATTCATACGGGCGCTCGTGCACTTCTGCACGGCGCGTGGGCATGGAGTACGCGTGCCCGCAGGCCCGACCCTCTACAGGCATGGAACGGTTGTTGTTCCCTAACGCCGCCACGTTGTCCTCTGCCGCGTAACAACTGAACTTATGTGAGCGAAGGTTGCACAATGTGGCACAGTGGCCGAACACGCTGCGCTTCGGATATCCAGCACAGGAGAGCAGAATGTGGATCAGTATGTTTTGTCACTACACACCGTACTTTCCAGTTTGAGCCCTCGACGTGTGTGAGACACAAAGCAAACTGGGATGACGTCTCCAGCGAAACCGCGCCGAAACCAGGCGAAACCAGGGGCGACACCAGGCGCATTGTGAAGACCTCTCACGCGAAACCGCGCCCAAACCGCGCCCAAACCAGGGCAAACCGAGCAACTTGGGAGGACGTCTCGATCGAAGCCGCCTCGAAACCAGGCGAAACCAAGCACATCGCGAGGACGTCTTAGTCGGAACCAAGCGAAACCAGGGCGAAACGATGCACATTGCGAGGACGTCTCGAGTGAAACCGCGCCCAACCCAAGCGAAACCCAACACATTGCGAGGACATCTGAGGCGAACATGGGCCGAAACCATGCGAAACCAGATACGAAACCAGGCAACTTGCGAGGATGTCTCCGGCGGCTTGCGCCGCCCAACTAAGCCAAAACAGGCGAAACCAAGAGCGAGGACGTCCTGGGCAGAATCGCCGAAAGCTGGCTCCCTCCATTCTTTTTAATTAGAATTGAATTTTCAGGAGTGGATGGCCCCACGGCCCCCGTTAGCAGGCGTAAGTCCGTTCAGAATGTTATGGGGGGGGCGTTTGGACCACGTGTCCGCTGAGGCGGACGAGGTCGGGCTCGGAAAGGTTTCATGTGTGTCTCGGTAGTTGTTGGGGCCTTGATGTTGCACACGAGCCGGTCGTCTTTGTAAGTTGGTTCTTTCTGCGCATCGGTGTAACATAAACGTGCCGTCGTGTTTTTTCTTGGCAGGTTGGTGATAGCTCATCCGGGGCTCCCTAGGACATCATCGTTCTTCTACATAGTTTTGCCGATGTCCGTGTGGGAGATCACGTCCGGTTCTTCAAACTACGGAGTCCTGGTAAAGAGAAGGTGGTCGTCTACATTCTACATGGTGCATTGAGTAGGCTATTGCATGGGTAAATCGCGGATGGACCACCTGTTTGTTAGGTGCTAGGTGCCAGCCTTGTGCTTCGCGGAGACGGAGTTTCTACGCTCAGATAAGATAAAGCGAACACGCAACCGCCGTGTCCAAGAACAGTGCAGGTGTGGTGCGCACGATGTTTCGGATTGCTCGCTCCAAAAGCAATCTCACATGCTGTTCTTCCCCCCCCCCCGTAGTTCGGGCGCATTCGCATGAGCCCTGTAAGGCTCCTGAGGCCCTGTCGAGGTTCGTCTTTGGGGTCCCTCTTGAGAACCTCTTGCAGCTCGTTTGGGCCACAGCCGTCCCGAGGCGTTCTTGGTAGCCGCGTGGGCCGTTGCGGACCCTTTCCTCCGTAAGGCGAGAATGTTGAAAACATGCGAACCTGTAGGGGTTTTGGCGAATTGGGGCCTCTTGGGCCGACCCTCCGAGCCCCCAAGAGGCCGAGGATACCCCGGGGAAAAAGGCCCGGTGCTGGCTCTTGGGAACACCTGGCCCTGAGCACGTCGGAGGTTTGGATTCCGAGCCACGGTCCCGAGGTATTGATGGACGCTTTTTTTGGCTTCAAGTTGCCTGGCCTTGTATTTCAGTGGCTGGTGATCTTCTTTGTTGCAGACACGGATGGGGGGGGTCTTGGTATTCGGGGGGCGCAGGATTCATCTGCACCGGGAGCTCCATCTATTTCCATTACTTTTGCAATAATGCTTGGGCGTATTATTTTGTTTGGTCGCAGAGTCGTGACAAATATATTGATCAGACACAAATGCGATAGTCAGGCGGTTAGGCTTTGCTGACGTTCCCTGGACGGTGATCCTGACAAGAAGAGCAGAACATATGGTGTCGGTTGAAGCATGGTTCGATCGTTCTGCGTGTTGGTGACGCTGGAAATGTTTTTGGAGTAAGTCAAACGATTCCTTCGCTCAGGGACCTGAAGCCAGAGAACGTGATGCTCCAGGCGAATGGCTACCTCAAGTTGGCGAGTGGCTCGGCTGTACCTTCACATGTAGACGTGCGTGCGCCACATCTCGGGCAGGTATATGTTGTGTATGAGGTCCGTATGGATGTTGTATCATCGCGCAGACTCAGATGCATGCGTGGCGTGTAGCTCCAGGTCGTGAGATGTTTGTTCCTGCCTAGCATGCAGTTCAGAGTCAGGGCGGCTCTTCTGTTCTGGGAATCATTGGCTGTGCTATGGCTTCGACGCGTATGCACCCGAGCATTTGGGCGGGTCTGACGTTTCGCGTGTACCCTCCGATGCGTCCAGGAGCAATTGCCAAGCGAGTTGCCGTGATAATCGAAAGGGAGAAGCATTAGTGAGACGAAGGGGGACGGTATCGTTCAGCCCAGAGGGTAAACTTAAGCAGGCTTCAGATGTCGCCGACATGGGGCCCTTTGTGAGCCTCTTGAGTCCCGCTCTTGAGTCCAAGACGACCCAGGAGAGTCCCAAGCCGGTCCAAGAGAAGACCTTCGGGATCCCAAAAAGTTCCCAAGGGAGCCCCAAGAGTGCCACAGGATGTCCCCAAGAGGATCCCGGAGGGCCCCGAGAGGGCCCCTTTCCGTTTGATGAATCTTCTGGTCTGCGGCTTCCGCAGGGGGAGGTAATTCGTGACTTCTCCGCAGCCCCGTGCAGTGCTGCACCGCCCGGCCTGCTGCCTCTCCCTCCTTCCTCGTTCTTCGGCTGCTTCCTTTGCGCCACAGTGCCTGGGCAATAATTGTCACTGGTAGCCCTTGGTGTCACCTCTTGAACTCAGCTTTAGGTGTGTGGCGGCATTCGCGTTTTGAAGCCTGCTCTCGTGGCTTGCGGTCCGCTCCGCCGGCTTGCACCCGACGGCCACTCGTTCCCCCATTTCTCGCCTCCCGCTTGTTCTCCCATAGGGTCTGCCGTATGGTCCCTTCCATGCTTGTGTTTTCCCGTTTGGTCTCCAGCATGCACAGTGCAGTGTAATGCTATCTGTATTGTTCGATGGCGTGGCCAGCCGCCAGGGTGTGTAATTGAGAGGGGAGGCCACAGCGCTCTCTGCGCCTTGAGCGCCGTGTGTCAGCCGCCGTGGCCGCCGTGCTACAAAGCAGCCATCTTTCCGCGACCCGACTCGTTCCAGAGTCATCGGTTCCCAGTGAAGTTCTCGATTGGGGACTTGCGCCAGCTGGTCTTGATTTCCACACGGTTGCGTGTAAGCTGTTCGTACGACGCACCAAAATTCTGAACACCAAGGGGGCTCCAAGACCCTGGCAAGCGATCGCACGCCCTGACGAGGTGCTCGCGCTTTCCGTCCCCGCGCCGAGCAGGCGACGGAAAGAGCGAGGTACGAGCGATGTACGTTTGAGTCGGGGCGAGACCCCCTCTCTAGGGGAGGGGCCCGGAGGAGGGGGGAGGCGCGCAAGGATGGGCTGTAATGGCCGCCTGGGGGCCGCTTCCCTCGTATTTGTTCGAGTGAGGCGGCTCCCGGGCGGCTCTCATGGCTTGTTTCTTCTTACTACTTCGGGTGACACGGCCAGAGGGCACCAAGGGCCCCAAAGGGCCCCGAAACGGCCCACAGACGGCCCCGAGAGAGCTTCAGATGGCCTCCAGACGGTCCAAGAGAGCCTCGAGACTGCTCCAGAGGCCCTCCAGAGGGCCCCCAAGAGAGCCTTTGGAGGCAAAAGCATGATTTCTCTGAGGTTTTGATTGTTTTTCGAGTCCTCATCTTTTCGGACCCAGAAGGGCCCAACGCGGCCCACGAGGTCCCAAAGCTCGTCCCAAGACGGCCCCCGAGGCCCCCCAAAAGAACCGAAAACGGTCCAAGAGGGCCCCCGGACGGTCCAAGAAACAGCCCAAGAGGGCCCCAAGATGGCCCCAAGAGAGCCTCATGAGGGCCCCAAAAGGCTCCCACGAGACTCCCAAGGGTGCCCGAAGAGGCGGTGTGGAGACTGGGCTGCTTGGGTGTGGGGACTGGGCTGGCCCCAAGACGGCCCAAGAGTCCCCAAACTGTCCCAAAGGGCCCCCAAAAGACCCCCAGGAAACCACAGAGAGGCCAAGGAACGCCATGGTTCACCACAGAGTGCGGTGACGTAACAAGCTCTGAACACCAAGGCTCCCCAGAGCGCGGTGACGTAAAGAGCTCTGAACAGCAAGGCACCCAAGAGCGAGCGGCAACCTAAAAGTCTGTGATCACCAGGGCTCCCCACAGAGAGCGACGACACAACAAGCTTTTAACGCCAAGGCTCCCCAGAGCGAAGGGTGCCTTGAGCCATCTCGGGCAAGTTCCTGCAGCGCTCTTTCCGTTTCCGTGCCGGCCCAGGTCGAATGGCTCCAATGTTCGGCCATGTTCGGCCCCAGACGGCCCAAGTCAGCCCCAAGAACGCCCAAGACGGCCCAAGAGGCTCCCAAGACGGCTGAATACACCGAGGCAAACATCATCCGAGTCCCCAGGGAAGGCGTTTAGTTTTGGCAGCATTGTTTCTGTTGTCGTTTTCATAGCGTCTACGACGGCCCAAGAGGTCCCCAAGACCGCACCCAGACGGCCCAAGAGGCTCCCAAAAGGGCCCCACGACGGCTCAAGTGGGCTCCAAGACAGCCCAACAGAGCGCCAAGACGGCCCACGAGAGGCCGCTGAGAGGGCCACTGGGGGTCCCCAAGAGGGCCCCAGAGTGCCCAAAGAGCACCCCACGACGACCCAAAAGGGCCCAAGGACCGCCCAAGAGGACCCCAAGACTGCCCAAAGAGCCCCAAATGGACCCGCAGGAAGGCCCAGGAATGCAATGTGCATTGATTTTCGCAAGGCGTTTTGCTAGATCTTAGTTTGTCGTTCCAAAGTGAAGTCTTAACACCAGCAGATCTCCAAGACCTGAAGCTATCGATCGCGCGCCCTTACGAAGTACACGCGCTTTCCGTCCCCGTGCCGAGCAGGTGGCGGAAAGAGCGAGGTACGATTGATGACGTTCTGCTGGGGCGCAGCCTTCTACGGAGGGGTCCAGGGGAGGGGCAAGGCGAAAACGACCGGCATCTAATGGCCAGCCCCCCCCCCAGACGGCCCGAGAGGCGCCCAAGACGTCCCAAGAAGCGCCCAAGATTGTCCGAGAGGGTCCAAGAGAATTTCAGACGGCCCAACGTGCTCCAAGAAAGCCCAGGACCGCCTCAGAGCGTTCCAAGTTGGCTTCAGATTGCCTCAAGACGGCCCAGGGGGGCCCCAAGAAGGTCCAAGAGGCCCTCAAGAGGACCCCCAAGAGGGCCTGAGGAGGCCACAAACATTGGTGGTTGTTTTTTCATGTTTTGTTTATTTTTCAGGCCAAGAGCGGCCCAGGACGGCCCACGAGGCCCCAACCGTCGTCCCAAGACGCCAGCAGGGGCCCCTAGAGGGTCCCAAGACGGTCAAAGAGGGCCCCAAGACGGGCCAAGCAGACCCCCAAAAGTGCCAGAAGACAGCCCAAGAGAGCACCAAAGTGGCCCCGAGAGCTTCTCCCAAGAGGGCCCGAAGAGGCCCCCAAGAGAGCCCTAAGACGGCCGAAGGCCTCCGAGACGCCCCAAGACGGCCCACAAGAGCCCCCAACCGGCCAAGTTTCTCTGCCCAGAGCCCCAACTGAACCCTAAGAAGGGCAAACACATTGATTTCCAGCAGTTTGTGGTGTTCTGTGTGGGGGGATGTTCGCATGCTCGGGCTTTCGAGGGCAAAGGACGGCTCAAGCGGCCCCCAGGATCTTCCCCGGATGGCCCGAGAGGGCTCCAAGAGGGCCCCGAGGCGCCCGCAGAGGGCCCCTAGACGGCCCCAGAGGGCCCGGCCCCAAGAGAGCCTCAGGTGGCCTCCAGACGATCCACGAGGGCTTCAAGACGGTTTCTCAGAGGGCCCTCGAGAGGGCCTCAGGGGGTCGAAAACATTGATTTTCCGAAGGGTCTTCGCAGGTGTTTCGGGTTCTCGCCTTTTCGGGCCCAGAGGGCCCACGACGGCCCACGAGGCCCCAGAGCTCGTCCCAAGACGGCCCCCGAGGCCTCCCAAAGGGGCCGAATATTGTCCAAGAGGGCCCCCGGACGACCCAAGAAGGCCCCAAAACGGGACCCAGGACGGCTCCAAGAAAGCCACAAGAGGGCCCCAATAGGCTCCTAAGAGGGCCCGAAGAGGCGGCGGTATGCCAACTGGGCTGCTTGCGTGTGGGGGCTGGGCTGGCGGCTGGCCCCCAGACGGCCCCAAGACGGCCCTGTGAAAGCCCAAAGAGGCCAAAAACATTGTTTCTCCTAAGGTTTTTCAAGGTTTTTTCGGGTTCTCGCCTTTTCGGGCCCAGAAGGGCTTCAGACGGCCCAAGAGGTCCCAAAGATCGTCGGGGCTCCCAGACGGCCCACGAGGGCCCCAAGGCGGCCCCAGAGGGCCCCAAGACGGCCCCACGAGAGCAACAAAATGGCCCCAAGAGGCTCCCAAGAGGGCCCGAAGAGGCAGTGTGGGGACTGGGCTGCTTAGCTGTGGGGACTGGGCTGGCCCCAGGGCGGCACAAGAGTCCCAAAACGGCCCCAAAGGGCACCCAAAGTACGCCCAAGAAGCCCCAGAGACGCCAAGTAACACCATGGCTCCCAACAGCGAGCGCTGACGTAACACGCTCTGAACACCAAGGCTCCCCAGAGTGCGGTTACAGAAAGAGCTCTTAACAGCAAGGCACCCAAGAGCGAGCGGCAATGTAAAAGTCTGTGAACACACGGGCCCAACAGTGCGCGGTGACGTAACAAGCTCTTCAGCCCAAGGTTCCCCGGAGCGAAGGGTGCCATGAGCCATCTCGGGCAAGTTCCTGCAGCGCTCTTTCCGTTCCCGTGCCGGCCCAGGTGACGGAAAGAGCGAGGTACGAGTGCTGACGTTCGTCTGTGTGGGGGAAATTCTGGAAGCCCCGCATGGAATGGCCGCCCGGGGGCCGTTTCCCTCGTAGAGTTTCGAGTGAAGCGGTTCGAGGGCGGCGTCCGTGGTCCGTTTCTTCATATTTGTTCGGGGCCCGCAAAATTCACGCGCCACGACGCGGGGGAGCCCAAATGGCACGCAGGGAGGCCCAAGAAATTCGAGCATTTGGGGTCCGGGCCCCTGAGGCTTTTCAGGAGTGGGTGGAGATTGAGGCTTAGAGAATTGGGCAAAGGACATGATGAGGACACGCGTGGCGGATCATGATGCTTCCAGGATGTGTGTCGTGAGCAGCGCGTTCGCTTCCGTTCCATGCTTCCAGGTGTGCAACCGAATTGATGCGAATGATTTTTGTTTCTCTCTCTCTCTCTCTCTATATATATAGCTTCCAGCTCGAGATTACTGACGGCCACAATTCTATCTCTCCCTCTGTGCTTTTGTTGTTTCTCTCTCTCTCTCTTTCTTCCTGTCGTGCCCATCGCTCGCGCATGCGTAATTGGATTGGCCGCGGTCATTGGAGATCGAAATGTCAGGAAGGACAGGTTAGATTAGGTCTAAGAGCTAGGATCGCATGATATAATGGAATGCTCCTATACGACCCCCGATGCCCAAGGTCGACATGGGCTGCTGCTCGCGAAAGGCCCGTTCATATACGTTCGTGGGCACGCCAGAGTATTTGGCGCCAGAGGTGACTTCGGGCTGGGGCCAAGGGCTAATTGGGAAAATTCGGCCTCCGAGCGTGCGAAGTACGGGCTGGGCCTTTTTGACAAAGGCTACGCTTGAGTCGTCGACGAGATCACGTGTGCGGTTTGTGCTGAAGTTTTTGGCCCGCTTGTGAGCAGGTTGAGCTCCGAGGGTGCATTTTTTAACCCTTCTGGGCCACAACGCGCGTTATGCCCCCCTTCCCCCTCCCCTCCCCCCAATGAAGCAACGCCCCCCCCCTCTCCCCCCCGTAGTGCGCCTCCGGCACTGCCACTTTGATGCTCGCAGGCCATTGTGATGCTTGCAGGTTGCATTAACGTTCGACGTCGTGTCCGAGGGCCTCGAAGGGCCTGCAGACGCTCCCAGAGGCCTCCAGAGATTTCCTGAGGCCTCGGCAGACCTCTGTAGACCTTCAGTGGCTGCCGTCGTCGTCGTCGTCGTCGACATCGTCGTCGACATCGTCGTCGTCGTCGTCGTCGTTTCCGTCCTCGTCGTCGTCGTCGTCGTCGTCGTCCCCGTCATCGTCGTCGTCGTCCGCATCGTCGTCGTCGTCGTCGTCCCCGCACTCGTCCTCGTCGTCGTCGTCGTCGTCGTCGTCGTCGTCGTCGTCGTCGTCGTCGAGGGTCTCGCAGGGCCTTCAGACGCCTCCACAGGTCTCGGAGACTTCCTCAGGCCTCTGGAGTCCTCCAGAGAGAGGCGGCCGTCGTCGTTGTCCTCATCGGCGTCGTCGTCCTCGTCCTTGTCCTCGTCCTCGTCCTCGTTGTCATCGTCGTCCTCGTCCGCGTCCTCGTCCTCATCTCGTCTCGTCACTGTCGTCGTCTTCGTTGTCCTCCGCGTTGCCCTCGTCCTCGTCGTCGTCGCCGATGTCGTCATCGTCGTCGTCGTCATCGTCGTCAGCGTCGGCGTCGGCTTCGGCGGCGTTGGCATCGGCGTCGGCGTGGGCGTCGGCGTCGGCGTCGTAGTCGTCATCGCTTTAGTTGTCGTCATCGTCGTGCTCGTTCCCGTCCTCGCCCGTCCCTGTCGTCGTCCTCGCCTTTCTCGTCCTCGTCGCGGTCGTCGTCCCCGACGTGGTCGGCGTCATCGTCGCCGAGGGCCTCGAAGGGCCTACAATGGTTTTCGGAAGCCTGCTCAGGCCTCTTGAGTCCCTCGTCGTCGTCGTCCTCCTTGTCCTTGTCCTCGTCGTCGGCCTCGTCCTCGTCCTCCTCGTCCCCGTCCTCGTCGTCGTCGTCGTCCCCGTCCTCGTCCCCGTCCCCGTCCCCGTCCTCGCCCTGGTCCTCGTCATCGTTGTCGTCGTCGTCGTTTGGCACTCGGGCGCTCTCCTCGTCCAGCACAGACTAATGCTCGAAGGAGGTTGTGGGGGAAAATGTTGTGGTGCTGCACCTATGCACCGCGCAGTACATAGGCGATGTGGTGCACGCGGCTGCGGCAGTGCACACTGTGCTGCGCTTTGTGGTACTTACTGTGATGCGCACAGGCGCTGTGGTGCTGGAACCACACGCCGGGGGGAGCGTCACTTTATGTCCCCCGTCCCCCTCCAAACGCCCGACGTTGCCGGGAATCAAGAAGTGCGCTCCAAGCGGGGTGCAGGCACTGTTGAATTCTTGTGATGGGGGTCTCTGCTATGGTCCCCCGCCTGCCTTTCTCCCCTCGCTATTTTGCACCAGGAGATTCGGCACGGGCTGGCTCGATCAAAAGAACTCTCTTCGCGATCATCGTATCACTCACCTCAACTGAGTGCCAGTGCTGCGCTGAGCGACGTTGCCCGAAGGAGTCCCAGCGACGTGCTTCGCCGAGTCGGTGCAGCACGTTAGGACGCCGCGCACATTCAAATGACAAACGGAATTCTTGGCATCATCACTCTTCGCCTGAGATGGCTGCGGGCGTATGGCAGATTCGTAACGTGTCGACGCGGCGGCGGCGCCAGCGCGGGCGTTCAAGATTGAACGCCCCAGGTGGCCAAGAATCGGCCCACATGGAATCACCCGGCGAGCGAACGGCCGCCGACCGTTCAACGTTGAACGATCCGCGCGGTGTCGGAAGCCAGCGCCGACAGGCGTCACCACACGAGCTTGCCGTGGGCAAGGCACCGCGCCTCCTGAACGGCATTGCCCCCGCCCCCAACCAACGAAACGCAACGCTCAGCGCCTGGCCGTTTTTTTGGCTCTTCAGGGCCGAGCCCCGACAGCGCCGACGCGGCACGCAGTCTCGAGCACGTGGCCCTCCGCCCCTCGGCGGCGCGCACGAAGGGGGTGGCGCGAGGGGCGGCGTCCCCCCTGGCAAGCGAAGAAGAGAAGAGGTGGCACGAGCGCGAGCTCTGGAGGTCCGCGGGGGCTCCAGGGGGTTGGCGGTGGGCCCCCCTTCTGGCGGCGCCTTCGGTGCGGCAGGAGGAGGGGTCCAGCGCCGGCCCGTCCGCGCGGACTGCCGAGAGCCGCTCGCTGCGTCTGTGTATGCAGGATGTGCCCTTTGGCCGCCCTTTGTCACCACCCACCAAACCACCCCAACCCAACCCGAAGGCCTCAATTTGCCCTCCATTTCCAGTTGGGGGGGGTCTGGGAACGTCGAAAAAACACATGTGGAACCCTTACCCCCCCCAACCCGAAATTCGGGTCTTCGGGTTGGGTTGGGGTGGTCTGGTAGGTAGTCATTTGGGTATACGCGCATGGCTGTCAGAGCCTCGGCCTGGAGTTGTTTGCTTCAGCCTATCTCTCCGTGAGCTTGCTTCTTTGCTTGCTGGCAATCCAAGGGGGCATCTTCACGACAGCCGGACTAGGATCGACTCGTCTTGCCAGCGCAGTGCGTAAGAAGGCTCTGGGAACCGATTGCAGCCAGGTCATGGCCAGGGAGAACATGCACACGTAAAACATGTGCCTGTGCGAGGTACACGCGTGATTGTAATATTGTGGCCGATGAGGTGGCGCTGATTCGTGTCCTTCCCCACCCCCCTCTGCTCTCCCCACTTCTGCTTGCGCGCCTGGCCTCCGCGGCTACATGTCGTTCAACGCAAGTGAACCACTGCTCCCATCCCAGCGCAGCTCGCACTGGCCTCGGTCCCACCAGCAGTTCCTGCGTGATCCAGCAAGGAGCTCCAGAGGGCTTCTGATATGTTCTTCTTCTGCGGTTTCCAGCTTCCCTACTTCCCCTTCCATCCCCTCCCTCTCTCCCGTCTCGGTGTATTATGTGCTCGCTGGACCTCTGCTTGTTAGGTTCATGACTCACGTATTTGCCTGGCGCTCTCTTTGTCCAGGCGCATCCCCGAGGGGGGAGACTGCCATCCTTGTCCGCCATCCCCGAGGTGATCCTCGGCGCGGGCTACGGCAAGGCTGCAGATTGGTGGTCCGTCGGCGTTGTCGCGTGCCACTCATGTGCAAAGGGGGGCGGTCGGTCCGACCTCGACGGGCAAGCGCCAGTTGACTGGATTCGGAGGTGCTTGTTCGACGCGGCTGGGAGGCTGGGCGCAGGTGCGGGGGTGCGCAGCCCCGGGTTGGACGGACGATTACACTGTTCCACTCCGGCAGTCGCGGAAACACGTGAAGTTTAGTCGAATCTAGAGGAAGGGAAATATGCCCCGACCCCCATATTTGATGTTTTTCAGCTGGTCTTTCGCGTTTATTGGACAGTCCTGTCCTGTTCGATTCCGTTGCAGGCGCGTCCACTCAAGGGCCTCGTTTGCAGGGGTAGTCCTTGTGCGGGTGGTTTTCCAGCCCTTTACATACACTTGTTCGACATTGTCTAGCACAATGCTCGCGACTACGCGAGTCACAGGTTGGAGGTTGAGGGTGTGAAAACGAAGCGACTCCAACTGGGAATTTTGTCTCGGTTTCGGTTCGTGCCGCGCGAGCGGTCGAGGCAAATCAGCACGGAGGCGACGATGTGACGGCCGAGTCAAAGGCCAAGTCTGGCAAAACAATTCCTCGCGTGCGTCGCGGGGGCGCGAAGGGTTGTCCCGCTGGTTGGTCCCGTGGGTTGCACCAGTTGTCCCGTGATTTTGTCCATGGCTTGTCCCTTATGCTGTCGCGTGCGCTGTTTCCTGGGTTGTCCCGTGGTTTTCTCGTGGGTGGTCCCATCAGTTGCCCAGAGATTGTTCTGTTGGTCGTCCTGTGGGTTGTCCAGTGGTTGTCCCAAAGGTTGTCCGGTGGTTGTCCCGCGGGTAGTTTCGTGGTTGTCCCGTGGGTTGTCCCGTGTTTGTGCGGCGTTTGTGTTGTTGCGTGGTTGTCCCGTGTTTGTCTCGCGAGCTGTCTTGTGGTCCCCGAGGGTTGTCTCGTGGTTTGTCCGTGGGAAAACAAATCGGTGCATTCAAATCAGACGGGTCGACTCATGTTAGCCATCATGGACCCCAGACAGTAAGTTATTGCAGTGTGGGTGTGTAAGTTATGGTGTGTAAGCTCTGTGGTGCACAACGCGTGTCAACTCGTAATGTGTCGACTCCACTGTTCGCGCAATCGTCTCACCTTCCACCCGCATCTTGCATAGCAAAACCAATGCGGCCACGATTGCGGCTGCCGATTGCCATTTGCTGGCACATCTGTGTGGCTGCTGGCCCGCGAAAACTCGCGCGTAGGGCGACCAGCGGGTAAGATGTGGCTTCGATGGCGCTTACCAACGAGAGTTTCCAGCGTGCCTCAACGGCCACGTTGGCGCGAGGGCACTTGAGTGCGGTTGGGTTGCTCCGATTGGCGCAGAATCAAGATGATGGTGGTAACGGATGCAACGTTGGTGATCGTAGCGATGGTGGTGAAGTGTATGACGATGGCGACGGCAAGGCCAAGGACGGCGCCGATGCCGGTGACGACTATGACGATGATTTTGTCCATGTGTCGGTGATGAGGGTGATAGGGTGGATTATGGCGGCAGTCTCGGCTAACGACGATGACGCTGACGGCGGTGAAGCGATGTCAGTGAAGCGATGTGAGAAAATACGCGCGCACAAATCGCAGAAGTCTTGCAGGTTTTCTGGTTCGGCACATGACCTTTCATATGTGCTCGAAAAGATACACCTTGAAATGCTCTCACACCTAATGGTTTGACAACATTTCGACGCGCGCCTGGCGGCGCGCGCGCGCGTGTGGCCCGCATAGCAATATGTGATACGGCTGTTTACACTGGGCGCGTGCTAGATCAACGCAGCTGCACCCCGTGGTGAGATGAGAATGCGGGTTCTGGACGGAATCCCTGGAATCGGATATTTGTCTTCCCGTGATGGCAGCAGGCGACGGCGGGCAGAACACCAGCAACAGTTTTGAGTAAGGCCATGGGGCTGTCGATTGTTCTGTTGGAATGTTTCCTGGATTGATGTGGATTGGTACAGTTTCGACATGCGCGCGTGTGGATTTAATGGTATTTCACTGGTACGGGATTATTGCAAAATTGTTTTCAGAGATGTACGAGAGTGCGCGCATGGTTGCATGTGACAGGGATTGGGAGGGCGATGGGGCAAAACCTAATGCATTTTGCAGTGTCCCCAGGAGAGTCGATAAGTCCAGGCTCGGGAAAGAGGTGCATTATATATTGTAGTGGCTTCCGGCCAGTGCCGCAGATCCGGGGCGGTCCGGATGCTGGTGGACATGGACGACGACGACGACGACGACGATAAAGACGACGACGACGACGGCGACGACGACGATGACGACGACGGACGACCAACGATGGACGACAAACGACCACGAATGATGGGCGGCGGCTGGCGACCGAGGATTGGTGACGACGACATCTCGCAACGAGAAAGACGGCGACGATGAAGACGACCCACGATGTACGACCAACGACTGATGGTCGACGACGAATGTTTGGCGACGCGTGATGGCCGACGGTGGACGACCGACGACTGGTGACGATTTGTTGGGGGTCTCCTGGCGGCCTCTTGGGGGCCTCTGGGACCCTCCGGGGGGCCTCTTGGGGGTTCTTGGGGCCTCTTGGGGGTTTCTTGGATTTTGTTGGGGGCCTCCTGGGGGCGTCTTGGGGTCGCCTCTCTTTGGAGCCCTTCGAAGCTTCTTAGGCCGTCTCGAGGCCATCTTAGGCGTCTTCGACTGCACGTTCGGAGACTCGGGGCCTTCTTGGGCCGTTGTAGGGGCGTACTCGGTTCTCTTGGTCGCTCCGTATGCTGGTGGTCGGCGCGACGACGTGATGGCGATGACGACGACGACGACGCCGATGATGACGATGACGACGACGACGACGACGACGACGACGACGACGACGACGACGACGACGGCGAGGACGACGACGATGACGGCGATGAAGACGAGGGGAGGGTTGGGGCCACGAGGGTCCCACCGATTTGGAGGTCGGGGCCCCGAAGAGGAGGTCGGGGAGCGAGGGGAGGTTGCTGGGGCCTCGAGGAGGCTCCGAATGGAGGGCGGAGCTTTTCAAGACCCAGGCAGCGGGTCGGGGTTTCGAGGAGGGGGGGTCGGGGACTCAGAGAGGTGTGGGCCTCGAGGAGATTTCGAGGCGGGGGTCGGGGTTTCCGATAGCACCCCGCAAGGGGTCGAGGTTTCGGACGGGCTTGTGGGCTGTAAGAGGATCGGGGTTTCGATGGCGGGGGCGGGGGCAGGGGCGTGGGCAAGGGGGGCGGGAGCGGATGAGGAAGCGGGCGGGGACAAAGGCGGGGGCGGGAATGAGGTTGGGGGCGCTAGCGGTGGCAGCTTGGGTGCAGGGGCGCGGGCGGAGCGGAGGCAGGGGTGAGGGCGAGGGGTGCGGTGGCGAATGCGGGGGCGAGGGCGGAGGCGGGGGCGTGGGCGGGGGCGCCGGCGGTGGCAGCTGTGACGCGGAAGCGGTGGCGGAGGCAGGGGCGAGGGCGGGGGCGGAAGCGAAGGCGCGGGCGCGGGCGGGGGCGGGGGCGAGGGCGAATGCGAAGTTGCGGGGGCTTAGGGGCACGAACGCGGGCGCGGGCTGAAGCGGGGGCGGGGGCGAAAGCGCTGATTTCCCCGCCCCCCCCCCTGCAGAGCGGAGGGGGGGCGAAAGCGCTGACCCCCCCTCCCTGCAGAGCGGAGGCGGGGGCGAAAGCGCTGACAACCCCACCCCCCCAGCAGAGCTGAGCGAACGCGCTGACCCCCCCCCCTGGCGGAGGGGGAGAAAGCGTTGACACCCACTTTCCCCTCCCTGCAGAGCGAAGGCGGGGGCGAAAGCGCTGAACCCCTCCCCTCTGCAGAGCGGAGACGGGGTGGGCGAAGGCGCTGACCCCCCCTTCCCTCTGCATACCCTAGCAAAGCGGAGGGGAGGACGAAAGCGCTGACCCCCCCCCTGCAGAGCGGAGGCGGGGGCGAAAGCGCTGACCCCCCCCTGGCAGAGCGGAGGGGGTGGGCGAAGGCGCTGGCACCCCGTTCCCTGCAGAGCGGAGGCGGGGGCGAAAGCGCTGCCCCCCCCCCCGTAGCAGAGCGGAGCGAAAGCGCTGACCCCCCCCCCGAGCGGGAGGGGTCAATACGTTGACACCCACCTTCCCCTCCCTGCAGAGCGGAGGCGGGGGCGAAAGCGCTGACACCCCTCCCCCTTGCAGAGCGGAGCCAGGGTGGGCCAAAGCGCTGACACCCCCGCCCCCCCCCTGCAGAGCGGAGGCGGGGGGGTCGAAAGCGCAGACAACCTCCCCCCTCTGCAGAACAGAGCGCACGCGAAGCTCAAGCTCACGCTCTTCTAGTCACGCTCCGGATCGGCGCATTTCTTGAAAGGCTGATGATCTGTGGTGGGAGCTAGAGGCGGCAACGAAGCGGCAGCGGGCGGAAACATGGCGAAACCTCGCGAGACCCACCTAGCGCGCGTAGCAACAATGAGGCGGCAACGAGCGGCAACGTGGCAAAACCGTGCTGGACCCACCGAGCGCGCGAGGAGGCAACGAGGCGGCAACGGGCGGCAACGTGGCGAAACCTCGCTGGACCACCCAGCGCACGAGGAGGCAACGAGGCTGCAACGGGCGGCAACATGGCGAAACCCCACCAGACCCACCCAGCGCACGAGGCGGCAACGAGGTGGATACGGGCGTCATCGTGGAACATACTCGCCAGATTCATTCGATTCCTTAGGAAGACAAGTAAGAACCCATACGTGCAATCACTGTTTGGGAAATTATTGGCCAGGCAACAGATCGCCAGATTGAAAACATATTCCCACCCCTGGGGCTCCGCCCACTCCGCTACCAATGCCTGCAAATCCCCATTACCACCACCCTCCCAGACGTCCAAGAGAGCCCCCGAAGAGCTTGAAGACGGCCCAGGCCGCTCCCGAGGTAGCCCAAGAGTGCTCTACGGCGAGGCTTCCAAGAAGAGCTCCGTTGAAGTTCTCGAGATGCCACAATCATTTCCGGATAGCTCTCTGCGAGCTAAGATGATTCCAGATTTGAAACCGGCAGCACATGGTAACCCAGAAGTTTTTTCAGGCGTCGGTTAAGCAGCGTCGCAGCAAATTGCTTGAACTTGCAGCGGGTCTTCGAAGTGTCATCCTACTCGGTCCCAAGACGTTTCCGGGGAGCTTTTCCGAAGCTCCTTTGAAGCTCTTTGGGGGTTCATGCGAAGTTCCTTTCTCTAGCGTGCAAGCTCCCCAGACATCCCTTCAAGCGTCCTTGCAAGCGTCTCCCATAGACGTGTAACGCGCTTTGGACTGCCCCGCTCTCCAGGTCTTGGACGCCACAAGAAAGATACCAACGGAACATCAATGGTGTGTTGTTTTCTCGCGCGCAAGCCCCCCAAGGCAGCTCCAAGAGGCCCCAAAGAGGCATCCCGGGCGGCGCTAAGAGGCCCCGAGAGGCCACCCATTTGCTCAAAGACGCTCCGAGCAGGCCCCAACGAGCTTCCAGGAGCCGCCATAGAGGCATCCAGCGCCGAAGGGGCCCCCCGAGAGGCCCTCAAGAGCTCCCAGCATGCGACAAGGAGAGCTCCCAAATGTCCCCAAGAGCCGCTCAGAACGCATCTTGGGGGCATCTTGAAGCTCTCTTGGGGTGCATGCGCAATCCTCGGAAGCGTGCTGGAGGGGGAACTGCGAGAACACAATAATTAAATGAAGATCTTATTTTGTTGTTGCAATGATGTTGGCCTCTCGAGGGTTTCCCAGAGCTCTTGGAGGACTGTTGGAGGCCTCTTGGGGCGATCTTGGGTGCCCTTGGGGGCCTTCAGATCCAATTGAGAAAAACGGGATTCACTCAACTCCCGTGTTTCCAAAATTCGCCTATCCCCTTCGTTCCCTCCTGTTCCAGGCTTCGGCGAGCCCAAAAGTGCGTTTCCATGTCCCCATCCCTCGCTGACCGTTCTCATTTTCTCATTGTGCTCTCTCTCTCTCTCTCTCTCTCCTGCTTTTGCTTTTCCTCCGTCTCCCGCTCCACATCTTTCTCCTTACTCTTCTCCTCCCTCCTGCCCGTTGCGTAATGTTCTCTCCTCCCTCTTCCTCTTCTCTCCTGCACGCCTTCCTCTTTCCACCTCCGTCCTGCGTTTCCGCCTCCCCTGCTCCCTCATCCTCATGTTTCATTTGCTCCTTCTTCCCCCCTCCGCTGCCCTCACCCAGCATCCTGCCCCACAGTGGTAGGAGGCCCAGATTGAACAAATCAAGGAAAATCGCTCAAATCCTGCTTTCCCCAACCATCCTGTCTTGAGTTGGGTCCTCGTTTTGAAGGGAGTCCCCGCGTCTCCTCTCCTCCTCCTCTTCCCCCTCCCCCGTCATCCCGTCACCCCCTCAATTTCTGGCACACCCTTCACACGTTTCGTGGCCCCGCAGGGAGTTCCGCCGAAGGCCCCAGTGGCAGTTCGCATTCCGCCCCCCGTCCACTGCGGCACAGCCCTCACGCGTTTCGTGGCCCCATGAGGAGCTCCACCGAAGGCCCCAGTGGCATGGTTTACATGTCGCCCCCCTCCATTTTGGCGCACCCCTCACACGCTTCGTTGCCCCACAGGGAGCTCCACCGAAGGCCCCAGTGGCATGGGTCGCATGCCGTCCCCCCTTCACGTTGGTACACCCGGCACAGTTTCGTGGCCCCACAGGGAGCTCCACCGAAGGCCCCAGTAGCATGGTTCACGTGCCGCCTCCTCGTTCACGTTGGACCCCCCTCGCAGCTTTTCGTGGCCCCATGGGGAGTTTTACTAAAGGCCCCAGTGGCATGGGTCGCATGCCGTCCCCCCTTCACTTTGGTACACCCCGCACAGTTCCGTGGCCCCACAGGGAACTCCACCGAAGGCCCCAGTGGCATGGGTCGCATGCCGCGGCCCCATAGGGAGCTTTACTAACGTCCCCAGTGGCATGGTTCGCATGCCGCCCCCCCCTCCATTTTGGCACATCATTTACAGCTTTTCGTGGCCCCACAGGGAGCTCCACCGAAGGCCCGAGTGGCATGGTTTGGCATGCCCCCGTCCACATTGGCACAGCCTCACACGTTTCGTGGCCCCACAGGGAGCTCCACCGAAGGCCCCGGTGGCAGTTCGCATTTTGCCCACCCCATTTTGGCACATTGCTCACAAGTTTCGTGGCATCACAGGGAGCTCCACCGAAGGCCCCAGCGTTATGAATTGCATGCCGCCCCCCTCCACTTCGGCACACTCCGCATACGCTTCGTGGCCAAGGAGCTCCACCGAAGGCCCCAGCGGCTGCGCCCGCACGGCAGGCCCGCCTCTTTGCAGCGCACCTTTCGCGCCCTTCGTGCCCATAGGGAGCTCTGCCGAAGGCAGTTCTCACAACGACGGTATTCACTATTGCAGATGGTTGTGTTACTCGTCTGGATAATTTTCAATCCGACCCCATTCGACATTTCGACTTCAGACGCCAAGAGCCCCAGGGAGGCCCCCGAGGCGCGCCCAAGAAGTCCCAGGAGACCACCAGAAGACCCCCACCAAAAACCGAAGAGACCCCACCCCCAGAAGCCCCCAAGAGCCCTCCAAGAACGTCCCCCTAAGCCACCCAAACAGACTTCCAGCATGCTTTTCCCAGACTGTTAGGAGTTCTCGGGCGTTCCCGCAAAGGCTGCCCCGGGTCCTCCACATGGCTGCCTTGTGCGCCTTCCTGGGGCCTCTTGGGGCGCTTTCCAGAAAACAGCAGGGGATCGCCCTGCACGCATACCCATTGCGCGAAGTCGTTCTGGACGCCGCCTCGACTAGAAGAGTGAGCCGCATCATCTGTCTGATAGCGTATGTCGTGCATCATCTGAACGCGTCCCAACAAGGCACAGTACGACCCAAGGGATCCCCAAGACCGCGCTCGATACGGCTTCGACCGAACTTGGCAGCTCTTGGATGGTTTGAGTTGCCCCATATGTTTTGTTCCAAAGGTTTCCAATGGACCTCCCAGGCACCTTCGAGATAGTCCGAGGGGCCCTCCAGACGCCAAGAAGATGTTCAACACCGCGAAAGACGGGCCACAGGCCACGAGCCTCCCGAAGCCTCCCAAAGGTTTGCTTATTCAACGACTCCTCGTCCATCAGGGAGTACGCTCCCAGATGTTGCGTTAGCACCTAAGCGCGCGAAGCGCGCGCGTGGTCCCATGTTTTATTCTCTTTTATATGCACATGATCTGTGTACACACGCTCGGGCATGCACTGTAGATTCAGATGTGTGGTACACCGATAAGAACAACCTTCGGTTCATTATGAGGTTGGCTCTTAGGGGCTTTCTTGGGGTCTTCATGTGCCCCTGTGGCTTCAGCAATATGCTGGCCACTTGTGCTTCGAAAGCCCACTGCAAGCGAAGGGGAGAGAAGGCAAGCACCACTGATCACCTGATCTGCTTGTGGGGTCGGAGTCTCTCCAGCGTATGACTGGGAAGCTCCGTGGCCTCCACGGCAGGAGTGGGTAATCTGTGGACGCGTGCCAGAGGATTTGATCGTTAGCCATCGTTGGCGAACTGTTGGGGGCATCTTGGACGTTCGAATCTCTCGCGGGGACAGGGGGGCGCGCGGACCCAGGGGAGGGGGGAGGGGGAGGGGGAGATCCCTCCTTGTAGGGGAAGAAGGGTTTATTGAATGGCAAGCGCTCTGAGCCACCTGTGCTCAGAGGGCTAGCAGGCCAGCAACACTTTACACTGTGAGCAGGATGTCGGTCTCGCTGCGAGCGCCCACCACATCCAACACATTCCTATCCGCGCTTGCCTGCGCGGGCGATGGCGAACCCAGAGCGGATACAAACGAGGCGCACGCTGGGCATCTGTGCACCGCCCGGGGTATGCCCACTCGTGTTTTCCATGCTGTGTTCTGGAACAGTCTCAAAGCCTCGCAACAAGCTCACGTTTGCGACATATTCGAGAGGTCATCGAATGTGGCGTCCCCGATGACCGTCTACAACTTCAGGCAGGCGTCGGGCCAGATGCCTAAGATGAGATAGCGCAGCGACTAGTATTACAGCATGCTGCCAACATGTTGGTTCGCCCGGACGACGCTCACAAGCGAGTGCATCCAGAAGCGTTTAGATGCCGAATGCTCAGGACACGTGTGCTAACCGTAACAGTGCAAACACTGGTTGGCAACGGCACTGCCGAACGTAAGCGGCCTGCCCACCCTTGAAAACCATGGTTTTGCAGCATTGTCGTCCCCGCCCCCAGAGGCGGCACTTTGTTTCACGCGCGTGGTCTATAATGTGTCCGCTGTCTTGTCGTCGCACGTCTCCGGGACAGTGGCAGCAGTAGTAGCGGTTGTCTTCTTGCCAGTCGTCAGGCGGCGCCCATCTATTGCATTGCGTACCCATGTATGGCCAGGGCCACCGCATTGACCACCCAGTCATGCCCCACGAGCGGCCTGGCAATGAATCCAAGGGGTCTCCGATTTTGAGTGTTGTGTTTCTCCGAACCCGCTGAGGTACGAGATCATCTGCGGCCCCTTGCCCTTCGGAGAGGGATGCACCGACCCGCTGGAGGTCTTCCGCGAGGCTCCGCGCACTCCACCCCTTCCTCCTCCCTTTCATTGGTAGAAGTTGTTGGCCATCCAGAGTGATTGCCCGCTCTCTCGTGATGCCGCCGAGCGAGTGCAGATTGCCGAAGCGCCGACTCAATTGGACTCGCCTGCCCCTTTCCCTCCTCCCCTCTCCTTCCCTTCGTCCGTCCCCTCCTTCCTCGTGCCCTTTCCAACCTTCCACCGTCTGCCGAGCCAGCCAGGAGCTGTTTGCAATATTTTGGATCGTCGCCCCTTTCCGCTTTTTCTAGCGCCGTCCCCGATACGGTTGTTGAAGCTATCACGTGCCGTTGCGCGGCATTGGTCGATCAAAATGCACCCTCCAAGGTCGATCCCCCCCGGGGTTTGGTTTGGATGCAGTGCTCTAGGACAGGGAGAAACGCGAGGGCCGGATGGGACCAACACCAGCCCACATCGGCGTTCGCCAGGACTGGAAGAGGAGGGGGGAGGGGGAGGAATGGGAAGGAGGAGGAGGAGGAGCAGGAGTAAAGGAAGTGAGGAGGACCAGGCGGAGGAGGCCTCTCAATGCTCACCCTCTCGGTAAACTTGTCTCGATGAAAGGTCGTATACGGATGACGCTTGGAAGGGCAAGACTCTTCGCGAGACGACCTCGTCGAGGGGGCAGTCTGCCCAGCGGACCAAGAAGGAGTCCCAGCGCGCTCCTGTGGAGACGACGCTCTGTGGAGGTAAGTGGGACGCTTGGCTCAATGAGAGTGCCTGCGCCGTGGCATCGACGGATGACTCCTCAGTCTGGCAGCACGGCTCGGAGGTGGGGCCGTGGGGGTGGCCGCTTCTTGCCTTAGGGCGATCCTGGGGGCCTTTTAGCTCCGTTACAGATCCTGTGATGTTTAATTAAGTATCGGTGCTGGTAGATCATCGGTCCACAACCGTCTCAGTCCGTTCTAATCTCGCATTGTCCTGCTTGATCTTGGGCTCAATCTGGCATAGTTTGGTTCAGTGGCCCCTTGTTCTGGCGTAGTACCCTTCAATGGTTCTCTGGAAGATCTCCCTGGAATTGCCTCAAGATCCTGGGCCGTTCTGTGCGCCCCGAAGTTCGATGATCCGAGGCACGAATAGATGGAAGAGCGCGTTCTATGGGGATCGAACTGGCGGCCCCCCCTCCCTTCAGATGCAAGGGGGGGTCGAACTGGGAGGGCCCCCCCGCTCTCTCTCAGGGAGTGGTTTGAACCGGTGGCCCCTCGCCCTGAGTTGAAGAGAGGTAGGGTTCGAACCGACGGCGCAAACGGAGGAAAGCAATATCTCCTGGCGACTTCCCCTTAGGAGTGTTGAAATCAGTGCCTAGCTCGAGACATCCTCAGAAGTTGCTCCGCCATCATCATAATCATCATCATCATCATCATCATCATCATCATCATCATCATCATCATCATCAGCATCATCATCATTAGCATCATTAGCATCATTAGCAACAGCAATAGCAACATCATCAGCAGCAGTATCACCATCACCGTCATCACCATCGTCATCGTTAACATCATCATCATCATCATACACATCACTGGCATCACCATCATCAGCATCACCTATCATAACATAGCCGATCATAACATAGCAGATCATAAGCATCACTGTCATCACCATATCATAACATTGCAGATCATAACATGGCATGGCATATCATATATTTGCAGTGCACGTCATAGCATACCATTGCACACCATAGCGTACAATCCCATAAGACAGCATACAATACCATGGCATTCCATAGCATGACATAGCATACCATACCATAACATGAGGAGGATGGATGGGGTGTGTGAGGTAGTCGGCGCGGTCGGAGTAATGACCATAGCAGCACTCTCTGGATTTAGGGAATACCATGAACCTCACCCTGTGGATATGGGGGAATGACACATCATAACATAATCTAAGAAGGAAGAGGTGAGGGTGTTCCTGTGAGGGTTCTCGGCGCGGTCAGAGTAGTAACAAGAACCCCATCCTCTGGATATGGGGAACAACGAAACAACAGTTGGGGGATTCGCCCTGCACGCATACCTATGGCTCGAAATCGTGCTGGATGTCGCCTTCATGAAAAAAGTGAGCCGCGTCATCTGTCTCGTACCGTGTGTAGTGCAACACCTTAACGCTTCTAAGCGGCCGATTCGATCCCCAAGACCGCGCCCAAGACGGTTCCGACTGACTCTGGAAATCCTGTTGTGAGTTGATTTGCCCAACATCGCCCCTATTTACCAAGGACTTCTGAAGACACTTCCGAAATAGTCCAAGGGGCTCTATAGACGCCCAGGAGATCTAAACCGCCGAAGACGGTCCACAGGTCACGAGCTTCCCAAAGTCCCTGAAACATGTTCTTCGTGGAGTTGCTCGGTTTATCAGCTCAGTGCAGCGGGATCTCTTGGGGCTTGCACACTCAGCATGCACAGACTCCTGAAGCGTCCATTGGAAAGTACGTTCCCATATGGTGATCCTTGAGGTGTGATGTCTATCCCCATTCGATCCTGTGAGGTTAGCGTGGGCCGCGGTAGAACTCTGCGCGCGCGAAGCGCCCGCGTGGTCATAGTGGGTGTGTAGCTGCTCCTGCCGAGGTCCAGGAAGATCGGTTTCCTGAACGGGAGATAGTGACGAATCCTAGTCTCGCAGAAGACGGGAGTGCCTCACCCCAAAATCTCCTCCCCTTCTTTTGGGGCGCGGGTGCGGCGGCCAGAGCGCTGGGCGGTGCCCGCAGAGGCGCAGGCAAGGAGCCCTCCGTCCTGCAGACCAGTAGCAGTTCCAGCCCAGTTTGAGCAGAGCTCGTTGCTGGTGTCGCCGCGGACGTTGTCCTTCTGAGGCAGAAGGTCTTTTTCCCAGCAGCGGCCGCCGTCGGTTTGGGATGACGTGAACCAGTGGGCATCGTGCCCACTTTGTTCGTACCCACTCCTGGAACTATGGGGCCCCGGGAGTGGCCCCGCGAGGGTCCCAGAGTGGCTTCGGGGCCGGCAGGTTCTATCCACGCCGCCCCACTCGAGTCCGAGATTGGGGGCGGACGAGGGAGGGGGCCTCAGCCGGGAGGGAGGGGTAGAGGCTCGAGGTTCGTCTAGGCTTGCCGCGTCCCAGGTCCTCGAGAAGCCGCTGGCCGTGCCTCGCGGCACCGCCCCGGAGGCCGACGACCTTCTTTGCGGGCTCCTGGAGCGCCCGCCGGAGCAGCGGCTGGGCTCGTCCGCGCTGCAGTGCCAGAACGAGGCAGCGCCTCCGCGCCGGCGGCGGCCACGAGGAGAAGTCAGGTGCTCTGAGAGGGGATGCCCCGCCCGGCCCCGGAAGATGCGGTTTTGCCACTAGGGATCTATCGGCGTTGTATCGCCAATTCCAGTTCAATGCCCCCCCCCGGCCAGTCCCCCCCCCGTTTAGAGGAGGAGGAGGAGGAGGAGGAGGAGGAGGAGGAGGAGGAGGAGGAGGAGTTTTGAAAAAGGAGGAGGAGGAGGAGGACGACGACGGGTGAGGAGGAGGAGGAGGATAGGAGGAGGCGGAGGAGGAGGAGGAGGAGGAGGAGGATGAAGAGGAGGAGGAGGAGGTGGGTAGCTAAGAGGCTAAGGCCGTCCTACGTTTTTTGCGGGTTCTCGGCGGTTTTCCAGCCTCAGGGTGTTGTCTAGCTGCCGCGCATCGCCCAGGCCCAGATCGTCTCGAATGGCCGGGAGGCCACCCGAAAAACCAGATGACGAGGATCACCGGGATCACCGAGTATGTCCGCGGTTCGTTCGGATCGGCTGCTTCGCAGTTTGCTGCGTCCGGTATGTTCTGTTCGGTTGGTTGCTACGCCGCTGCGTCCGTCCGGGCTGCTCTCGGTCCGTGGGTTGGCAGTCGGTGTCGGTTTCATTGGCGGTTCGATGGGTTTTCGATTTCGGTGTCGCCGTGGAATTCCTCGGAGCGCCTTCGAGCAGCGGCCGGGCTCTTCGGCGCTGCAGTACCAAATGGAGGCCCACCTGTGAGAGGCTGTAGTCCTGCGCTCTTCGCACCAGCATGGGCGTCGCGGGTCCATGGTTCCGTGGCCGTCTGAATTTGCAGCACCACGTTGTGGGAGGGACATCTGATTCTGATTGCGGGGGGGTACCCGCGCGGTAACAGTAAGTTTTGCGCAGTATTGCGTAGCCTGATCTTCGGAGGAAGGAGCCATGCCGCTTGGGCCTCTGCGAGGCGCAATCGTTCTCGCGCAAGCGCTGAGGCGCCCTGCCAAGCGGGCATGCAACAGCGATTTCAGGAGGCGTGTGGATCGCAACGCAAGGCAAGGAGGGGGGCTGAGGAAGTTCGGTCAGACATGGACTTGCACCTGACTCCACCGTGCACCGCCGCTGCGACGCAGAGTCTTAGGGCGATCGTCGTCGAGGCGAGCGCCAGGCTGGCCGGGGACAAGGTCGCGCGATTGTGGCAGAAGTCACGGTGGCTATTCGGGCTGGTTTTTGGGGTCGTGTCAGTTTGGCGGCGTCGACGCGCACGTTGCCGTTGCCTTTGGCTTGCGATGGCCGCGGCGCTCGAGACGCCGCCGCGCCCATCGCAGGACAGTTGCTGGGAGGCGTGGCGGGTGCGGAAGAGCGCGCGCCGCAACGCTTTGCTGGCTGGCCGTCGGCGTAGCCTCAGCGTATATGTTGGGCCGCGCGATTGGGCTGAGGTCGATCTGGGCGATAACGCCCCCGCCGTCTCGCCGAGCTCGCGGTCTGGCCTCGACCGAGCTTGTAATGCGGCGCTAAGCCGCTAGGCTCCCAGAGATGGACAGGGGATCGCATGCTCTGTTTGCACGTGCGGTGGGCGCGTTCGGGTTGCCTTCCGGTTCGTCGAATGGCGGTGCCATATTTTTGTATCAGATCGTGCCATATGCATATATGTGTACACCTATGTGTATATACATATATGTATATATACTTATATCGGAGTAGGCCCGGGGGCAGGGGTGGGGTGGTGCCACCGGTTGGCATGGCCGCCCTGGGCGTCCTGTGGGGTCCACGAACCCGCCCAAGAC